AAGGAAACCATTTTGGGGGGCCGACGATTAGGTGGGGTGGAGAAGAGGGTCTAAGCCGATGGTGGGGTGGGGATAGGGCTGGCGGTGGAAACTTGGAGTTGTAAGAAGGGAGGGTGGGTAGAAAAAAAGAACCGATAAAACAAGCCACGAACAAGGACTCTTCCAAGGTTGGTGGGTGATCCGCTTCCCTCTCCAAAGGGTTTCTCTCCCAAACACTCTCAAGCTCTCGCAAGAACTTACAATGCTAAAAAATTTATCATTCATTCATTAACCATGAAAAGAGAACATAAGGGCTATATATAGCCTCATACAACTGACTTAAAAAATAAAAGACGACGTCACCCTTTGGGCTTACACATGAAAAGGGAAAAATAACTAAAGCAAATACAAAAAAAAAAAAATACAAATTCATATGACAACTTAAAAATACATCGGCACGATCGTGGTCGTAGATCGGTGGCCACGCCTCTGATAAACTTTCCAAGCTCTAATGTCCCCATCATTTAGGCCGAGTAGTATTTGTGATAGAGCTTAACTACCTCTTTTTTCTTTTTCATGGGGTACATTGCAGAACCCAGCTGCATTTCTGGCCTTTCATTATTATTTATTCCATGATGATTATAGTGTTTACATTGATTACGCACTAGAATTGCATATTTTTTCTACATTTCTTTTTTTATTTTGCTTAGGGTGGCTTGGAGGGAGTCAACATTAGCCTCTTAGGATGCTATCTATAAAGGCAAAATCTCTCTAAGCAAGATAAAATGAACATAGAGTCGAAAATCAACCAATTTTTCAAAACTAATTGATGGGGACATCAGATCATGGAAGGTTTATCAGAGGCATGGCCGCCGATCTACGACCATGATTGAGTTATTGTATTTTTGATTTATTTGATGTATTTTCTTGTGTCGTATTTGTTTTATTTAGTTGTTTTATTTCGTTTCCCGCTGTACCCTTTTATTAAGGGATATAGTATGTAAGCCTTGAAGGCATTGTCGTCTTTCTTATTTTTTGAGTCTTGTGTATGAGGCTACTTATAGCCCTATGTTTTTCTTTGAAGGTAATGAATGATTAAGTGAAAATTTTGTTTCTATTGTTTGACTTCTCATGAGGGCATGAGAGTTTGGAGTGAAATCCCTAGGAGAGGGAGATTTGAGCAATACCCATCAACCTAGATAAGTCGGGTTTGTGGTTCCAACCTTTATCTCTTTCTCTCTTCCTCCCCCACTCCCACTTAGCTGTCGGCCTTCCCCATACCCATCCCCCCACTCAACCCATGGCTCATCCATACCACCCGCCGGCTCCCCATCTCACCTGTTTCCTCCTCTTTCCCCCATGCTTCATTTCCTAATTTAGATTTAATCAAAATTGGATAGATTTTGAATTCAAATTCAATTGATTTGAAATTCAAAATCTTTTTTAATTTACTAAATCTATTTTTGGAAAGTTTCTTAATTAGCTCCTATTTGAATTTTAAATGAGAACGGATTTAATTAAATCTTTCCTTCTTCTTAATTTTAAATTAGGAAGCCTCCTTTAATTCACCAAATCCCCCCCTCTCCTATTACCGCCGCGCACCCACTCCCCCCCCCCCCCCCCCCCTCTGGGTTAGCCGATTTCTTTGGAATTCTTTCCATATTGCAAGATTCCCTCTTGGAAAGAATTCAAAACCCTTCTCTGCTATTGGCCGAATCTCCCATCAATCCTCCATCACTTTATTCTTTCCAAAACTTCTATTTCTAATTTGGAATTGAGCCCCTCTCCTTCTCCCCCTGCTGGCCGAAATTTCCCAAGACCCGTACACTAACTTCTCTCCACTAAACCCTTCCCAAACTCCATCCAACATTGAGTCCTCTAACTCTTAAGACTGCAGCCAGAGAATTCCAGCCACTACTCTTGCATCCCCAGCAACTGGAAACCTTAAAACTGCTGTTTTAGAAGACCAACCTGCTGTCCACCTATTCCCCTCAGCCTGAATTGCCATACCATCATCGGAGAAGACTTCCCTTGCTGTTTGGCACTTCCCCAACTCAAAAACAGCAAAGTCTTCCATGGAGGGCCGAAACCTTCCCCCCCTCCTCTCTTGTTTCATGTGAAGATCATCTCTTTCTCAAGAGATCTTGGAGCCTTGAAGGACGTCGCCGCTACTACCGCTACACACAACAATCCAATGCATGGCTGATCCCGAAACTGACTACGGAATTGCTTACAATGAACACGACTTCGTGCACGTCCTCCATTCGACCTTCTTCGACGTCAACCCGCAAATCGATCTTACGGTTGAAGATTATATCGAACGTATCTTGAACACCCTAGTCAAAGCTATTGAAGAACAACTAGATATCGTCGAGTGGAGGATCGCCCCGGGTCCTTGACGAAGGTTTTCCTAATTTCCTTTTCTTGTATTTCTTAAGTCTAATCTTTCTTGTGATTTGATTGTAGTCATGAAGGACGTGTTTGCCCAACTCTGCCAAGCTTAGTAAATGTAGGAAATTGAGTGCTCCTCATTGCTTTCTAACTCTCATTATTAGATTAGGGATTCTAGTAAAACAATTACTTTGCAAATTAGTATTTATTTTCTAAGATGTTTTGGTGGTTCGAATCTCTTGACATGTAACTTGGCCTAAGCGAATGTAACCGCTCTTATGTTTTGATTCATCGTTTTATTTGCTAGTAGTTTATTTTTGTTATTTCTCTAATCACTAAGTTGTGCAAACTTTTCATAATTTCATTACAATCACTGTGGTCCTAAATCACTAATGCATGCTCACTCTTGGGTCATTCTTTCAAATGCAATTATTATTTCAAACCAAGTCCACTTCACAGTGGCTACCAGCTAGTTCTGATTAGCCCTACCCATACATGAATAGCCTGAGTCGAGCATATAGATTTTACATTTCATCATATATAGGGTAGTTCATATTTGCATTAGCGTTGTACCATACATGATCGAGCTTAAGGCTCATTCATGTTTTATATCTCCCACTATTGTATTTGCATAAGACTAGACTGTATAGATTTGAGATGTTAAGTGGAGTTTAGGTGATACCCTTTTCCAAGCAGGGTTGTAAATCCAAGTTGGGACTACTTAGATCCCTGGTGGGATTTAAGTTATAAGTCCCCTTGATATCTTGGGTTAGTTAGGTCGTGGGCATTAATTTATGGGTATAACGCACTCTCCAGAGGTAAAACGCTGCATGCTTTATCGTTGAGTGAGCTCTCCACTCTCCAGAGGCTATAAATCTCACCTATCTTCGTCACACTGATAACATTTCTTCCACCTTTCTCTCATGCATTCTTCAGGTGTGATGTCTCATCTCTTGATTTCTTTCCTTCTGACTGGCCAAATAATTGTATGATCCTCGTGTGTTTATATAGCCCAATTGAGCCTATCTTCATTTGGATTAGAAAAGCCTAAATATTTCACTATGCGCTAAACCAAAAAGAGAATAAAATATCATCCATAATCGAGAGTATTCTTAGGTCAAGACCTAAAATATAATCGACGCCCATATCAAATAAACCTCATTCGAGCAAATGTATTGAATGGGGGGGAAATCTCGTGACTATCGAGTTATGCATATTATTATCCATCGAGATGTGTAGACAAAAGCCGCTATTCTCCATGGATAATCGTATGTATAGTTCCATCAGCTCTTCCATTAGTCTACTTGCATAGAGTGTAAAGGTTTATGACTGTTTTGTCCGATGCAATTGTACTATTATACTTTTTGTATTATAATCTCCGCGAACAACATCCTTTCAGAGATCCACAAATCCTTGCTGTAATCCAACTGAAATAAATAAATAATTAGTCAAACCACCTTATGTGGATTGCTTTTTAACCCTAATCTTCATTTGTATAAGCATCATCCTAATCTTATTCATTATCTTCAACCTCACAATTTAAGGTTTATGATTTAGGTTTAGTTTTTAATTTCACTTAGGCTTTGGGCCTATTAAATTTAAAAAAAAAAATCCAACAATTACCAAACCTTGAAATAAAGTTGTACCCCTCATTCATGTGCCTCTAGGCACACCTCATACATGCCTCTCAAGGCATAACTCATTGTGCACCTCAAACAATCAAGGCATACACCTATTTCTCCACAATGAGGTGTAAGCCTTAAGATGCTTTGCACGCGCCACAGGGTGAGGCACGCCTCAAAACAAGCCTCAAATTGCACAATTTTAAGCTGTATCATGGAGTATTATCACGATAAAGTTTATATGTAACTATGCTAGACGTTTTGAGAAAATTCCATAAAAATGTAAAATACAATTTTTGGAACATTTTAGCAGGTAATTTCTAGGTAAGTTAAATCTGTGTTCATCTCACTTTTGTTTCACTTGAGGGAATTTAGACTACTCTTTTTTTCTTTTTTTAGGTTGGGTGTATTTGAGTTTGGGGACGAGTATTTTGATATGTTTTTTTCATTTTGTACACTTGTGTGGCTCTTTATAATTATTAATTCAACAAATTAAAACATAGTTAATTATTTATTATGATAAATTAGGAATTAATTTTAATTTTAATTAAGATCGTTAAAAAATTGGAATACTAATTACATCTATTTTGACTAATCAAATATATATATATGTTAATTACCTATAATATTGATTAACCTCACTTTCAACAATAAATTAGTGTTTATAGTGGTAACTTAGATTAATTGGGGCTTAAATAAGATTTAATTTGATTAACTAGTACTTAATGTGATCAATTATGGATAAAATGCTAAATTATGCTAATTAAATATAAATTTTTTTTCACCTTTCATTTCTAAACATGTTTTTATTATTTTTTAAAATAAGAAATAAGTAAAGCATTCAACTATTTTTTGTTTTTAGGGAAATCAAAACAAAGCAAAAAAAAAAAAAACAAAACATATCCAAATATGGCCCAATTTTTTCAAAAATTGGAGCATGCCTATATTCATTGATAAGCAAAAAATTTAGAAGCTACGGAAGAAATTTAAAAGTGTCATGATCATTACAGCATATCTTGCAATTGCTGCCGATATTGTGGATTTTGTAGCATCCCTGAAAATAACGAACATTATAATAATCAGTATAACTATTGAAAGAGAAGCCGCACAGAATTAGAAAACATCAAATTTGAGGTGAAAATGAAGACGGTTTAGTTTGTCGTCTGATAAAACAACATGAATGTCAAATAATAATATCAAACCAATATACCTACACTTAAAGGTAGTCGGGTTCCTCATCTCTTCAGGTAAATAGCTGCAAAAATTATCAAGAGAATATCAGACCGTTTATTGAACATAGAGAAATGGAAAAAGAGTAGTTGTATGCATAAACTCTAAAAAGTGTCATAAATGTATAAACAGAAAATAGTATTAGAATTGTAAGGAAATGAGAGAAAATATGTGCTAAGATACTTTTCAGAGGAGAATATCTACTAAAGAAGCTTTTGTATGCAAATTTATACACAACACCTAGCAATCAAACAAGGAAACAGTCTAAAAGTATATAAAAAAGATCCGAAAATAGTCAAAATAGTCCCTAGATTATTTAATGTGCCCAATTTGTAGCCTTAACTTTTGAAAATTGGTCAAATTTAACCCCACCATTAAAATTGTTGTTTATTTAGACTGAAGTTCATGCTTGCAAATGCAATATAGGAAATATTAGCCCATTTTTTCTCAATACAATTGAGACCTACGTTGAAAATCAATTTGAGAATGCCAACAGATGGCATGTACTGAGGCGCTCTAGTACAACAAATAGCAAATGTCGAGCAGAGGGGCCCAGAGAGAGCAATATCAAGCTAACAATGGAGAAGGATCATGCCTCAATCAAAGATGTTGAGGCCAACAAATCACTTTTAAACTTCTTAGGCAAAACACACTCCTCAATCATCATCCTTAGTGTCCTCGAGCAAGATGCCATCCTTCCCCATCATCTGCTCACTATCCTATGATGCTTCTCATTTAGGCCTCCGCTCGACGCTACCCCCGCAAAACAACTTACTTACTAAACCATAACAACTTTCATCATCCTTAGATATGAAAGAAAAATAGTTCTATATTGAAGTTTAAAAAAGTTAAACAAATTTATATAGAAGTCAAAGGAATAAGAACAAATTAAAATACCCCCTAATATAACAATGCATGTGAAATTACATCTAAGTAAACATAAAGTTTTAATTGTGGCAAAATTAGATCAATTGTCAAGAGTAAATAAATCAAACTAAGCACAATAAAAATCTGGAGACTAAGATGGCCCTCTTACAAAGTTCAAGGACCATTTTAATATTTTAAATCTCTATCATCTCTTGTTGAAGCCAACCCTTACCCTCCCATTAAATAGCAGCATTTCAAAAAGATAGGATAAATGAGCTTGTATCATTTAAAAGGACAACATAAATTTATGGACATCGATCTTCTCACACACATCAGAATATCCGGGATCACGAAAACATGAACTTTCCAAAAGAACAATTGACCAATTTAATCATAAAATTAGCTTACGGGTAAACCAACTTCTGCACATTTGGATCTTCCATCATTTTCTCCAATGCTTCAACTGACAGTACAGATCCAGATGCACCTGCTTTTGAACAAAAGAATCCATAGACAAACTTAGGAAATATGCACTCATTGTTTAAGAACTAAAAATAAAAAGAAAAATTAAGTATCAAAATGATAGTCATAGATAGCCATATTCATTTACAATTTAACAGCACAAGATAGAGGCAGTAGTCTACCCTACGTTACCAGTTATTGCTAATGGTAGCAATGATTAAGAAAAGATTGAAAAATTAAGTAACAAGTGATTTTAATAGTGATGAGAAAAAAGAAAGCAGGGTATCAAAGGATTAAGCAATTCCAAAAATAGACAACATCAATGCCGTCCTAAGATACCTACTTGAGATGTTTTGTGTCGGAGACATCCAAGCTTTGGGCCAAGTGGCTGTCATGGACGGAGTACTGGTACAACACATCTTTTCATTCTGCTTCACATATGACCCCATTCAAGGTGTTGTACGGGCGGGATCCCCCACACTTGGTGCATTTTGGGAGCCGCAGTACTCCCATGTCTTCAATAGAGGAATACTTAAAGGAGAGGGATCGAGTGCTAGAGGAGTTGAAGAGGCATTTACTGAGAGCTCAACAGATTATGAAGAAACAAGCGGATGAGCATAGGAAGGACATCCAGTTCGAAGTGGGGGAGAAGGTGTTTTTGAAGCTCCGACCATATAGGCAGAAGACAGTCGCTAACAGGAGGAATGAAAAGCTGGCTCCAAGGTACTATGGGCCTTATGAAGCGCTGGAGAAGATTGGGGCAGTGGCATATCGACTGAAATTACCACCATCGGCGATGATACACCCAGTTTTTCATGTATCGCAGTTGAGGAAGGCCATTGGTGACTACACTGCCAATCTCGAGCTACCTGCGACACTCACTGAGGATTTAGACCTGGTTCTGGAACCCTTAGAGCTGATGGGAGTCTGCCAAAAAGAAGACGGAACTAAAGAAGTATTGATCCAGTGGAAGAACCTACCTGACTACAAGGCCACGTGGGAGCCATACGAGAGGACGAAACAGCGGTTCCCGGATTTTCACTTTGAGGACAAGGTGATTCTTTGGGAGGGCGGTATTGTTACTCCGGTTCACATAGAGCCGGCCTAGCCGGCTCAATTCCACTACAGGAGGCGGAACAAAGCCGCCTCCTCTATCTGTTCCGCCAAAACAGATGGGGCCCGCCCCATCTAAGAGTTTTTCAAAAATTGAATAGAGGGGGAGCGGCTAGGCGTTTAGGAGGGAATTTGGATTAGTAAGGTTTGGTTATTAAAGTGCATGAGGGAATTATGGAGGATTATGTTTGGATTGATTGGGAATTAGGGTTTCTTGGCATTTGGGCTCTAGACTCTCTTGTCTAGAGATTTGGGATAGACGATCGTCCTCTCGAATTGAGGATCACTTGTATCTTGCTTTCGTGTTGTTTTTTGCTTTCTTTCTCGTATTGCAATCTACCGTTTGGGGGCTGATTTAGCCCAGATTTTACTTTATTCTCGCAGTTTTTCTCCAATTAGTGATAGGTTTGCTTGCGAACTCACGTATTCCCTTAGGGTTACTTGCGAACTCAAGTATTTCCAATCATATAACCACAAGAATGCCACAACAAATAAACCCTAATATATTTCAAAATACACAAACAGAAAAAGGCAGAGATCTTCACAATAGTTCTAGACAAGGCCTACGTAAAAGTGATCCTGTCAGTTTCAGTAGTACTTCAAAGATGATGGCAAAATGGTAACAGCATTGCTTATCGATACTTTGCCAATCATATAAGCAAGCAACTATGCTTTGAACATCAAGGATAAAAGTATTGCTATGGTGCCCAACTGGGAGCCCAAAAAAGTTAACCAGACCGTTGGATGAGTGACACATGGAATGCATATGCCATTATTTCATTGATCCAACAGACCTGGAGATTTATTTTCAGCTCGGCAGCCAAGTATTTCCCCAAGAATAAATCAAACAGCTACTTACGAGTTTCAGATTGCTGACTGAAAATGTTCTGTTCCTGCTTATTCGCAGCCCCATTCTGTGAAACCTTTAGCAAAATTGAGATACATGATGGCAGGTCTATTTTCAATAGAACAGGCAAAGAGAACTAATCAAGATAGCACGAAGACTCACTTCCTTCTCAGATAGATTCTCAGTTTGAGAAATGGACTCTTTTGAATATTCTGAGCTCTTTCTCAACACTTCTTCAGGAGAAACATCAACAAAGGCTGCATGACATGAGATTTAAGAATGCATTATTTCTAAATTCAATAGAAAAAGCTAGGATTTTCTTTATATGTCAAGATGAAAGTTTAGCCTTTAATGATGGAATTAACCAAAAGTTTAAAACTAAAAATAGTAATTCAAGAAGAAAATTAAATATCTTACAAATCTATAAACTCTTCAAGCAAACAATCAATAAAGCTACTGATTCCAGTCAAAATAGTTATGACTGGGTAAAAAGGGACTTTATATAAGGCTTCAGGTCAATAATGTGTGAAATCCCCCATGGCAGTCATAATGTTATCATCTACAATGATCTAATGTGAAGATAGAATCTTATGGTCAAGCAGTTTATAATAGTTATGATGAACCCACATAAGCGCTGATCCAAAACTCCACCAAAAACAATACTGTTGCATATTTTAGTACTCCAACTTGCTTAGAGTTGAAAGAAACATAATATTTTTATCCCTACTGGCACCGGTTTTGTGCTTTTGTTGATAAAAAGTAGAGATTATATAAAAGGTTATTCATGCATTTTATGCCAAAGTTCTCAGTGAATGCTCCAGCGTGCTTCAAGTTTGGGATTCACAAGAGAAGGTGGAGGCATCCACAACTTGAGAAAAGGAATTTGAGAGATTGAAGATCTATAAAATCTGAAGTCCTAGATAAGGTTTATTTTTTGCTCTCCTGTATTGATTTAAAAAAATTGGTTACAATTCGGTGGACGTCTCAAGCTTCTTAAATCATGTTGATTTAATACTCATATGACTAAATGCTCCCCAGATTTGTTTAAGCTTGTAACCGAATTTGCTCTGGAACAAATTTTTAACCAATTTTGCATTAGGACCAGTATGAGCTGAAGGAAAGGGGTAATAAACTGTGTTACTCACAAACAGAAGCATACCGCAATGGCAACCATATGTGATTTAGCACACCTTGCTCATGGAAATGTAGCAGAGCAGTAGGACAAGAGCTACCCCAACCCTCCAAATAACCCTACTCGCCATTTCAACCAGGATTCAATCATATACCAACCTTTAAGACAAGTTTCAAGTTCATTGGCAATAACAGCTTCACCCCAATAGCTCAAGCTGATGAGAGGGTGCAACACAATGTCTTGTTCACTCATATAAAAATAGAGCACACAAAATTCAAGTATTACTTGGCCTGGTCTAATTTCAATCATGTGGTACGAATGCTGAGCGGAAGCTATAACCCCATCCGCTCACAAAGAGAGTATTGTTTCATATGTATCATGTAAATCCATGAATTCATAATTCATTGCAAAATGTTTAAGAAACTTGTTTACCATAAGACTTGAGGGATATTGGTTTAAAGTAAACGGGGTGTAAAGTATTCCAAAGGGGTTTGGAGAATACAGGTATTTGGTTTGAAGCTATAAAATGTGGTATAAAATTTTGGTGTACTTGGAATTCATCCTCTAATTCATTTTTTGTGTATTTAGAATTCCTCATATTTGGGCGATTTCCAAATATACTAGAACTTCATTGCATGCGGACGCCACCGCCAACCACCACCACTGTCAGTTGCCGCCCTAACTACCGCCGCCTCCACCACAACTGTCACCGACCTACACCAGCGCCCACCACCTCCATCAATCACCCCATCTTTAGACTTTACATTGCATTCATTTTACTTCAAGTCAAACAAAAATAATAATAATTCCCTATATTTATGTTACACTCATTCAAACAACTCTAAAGTATTTCAAATACACTGCATACATTCAATCAATGCTCCATTGCCCATACCCCTACCTATAAGAACCCATATAAACACTGAGTTTCCTTCCATCCCTTCTTAATCACCATCACAAGCCACTTTATGTTGCTGCGCTCCATGCTAATGCTGGATGGCATTCCAAGTGTTTCCAATCCCAACTTTATGTAGAATCAATACAAATTATTATGCAAAGTAATAAACACAAATTCATGATTTATAAATACTCTTTTTATTTCCAGTTTAGAAGCATCTAATCAATATCCTTTGGTATTCTTTGTAATCTTAATACTTCTGAAAAGAACCGAGCTATACTTGCACCCACTCTACACCTGAAAAATGACCAACATAGAACTTGTCAACCTGTGCTAAAATGACACTAATAATGTGTCAATATAGGTTTAATGAATCTCAATATTTGTTCTTCACTAGCGAAATGGCTTCAACAAGGGAGCTATGGCATATGATAAAGCTAAGGTAAAGTTACTTCAACAAGACAGTTTTGTGTGGGTAAGTAATCAATCAGACCTAAAGAGGTATTATGCCAACCTCATTCAGTTAAATTAACTTGACCACGATGAAATGCCAGGAACTATGCCATCATTTAACTGTCATGGACATCTAAAGCGAGAAAAAGGCATACAACAACATAACTTGCTCAATTTGACTCCATTAACTAGATTGAAGAACCGAAATTCATATGCCAATCAACAGAAGATGTGAAAATATAGGAAATATCATGCGAAGGGAAAATATCACATACCATATTTTTTCGGCCTTCTTTCAATCTGTTCTTTGGATTCGATGGAAGCAGAAGAATCTTCTACTTTAGTCGGAGGAAGATCTACAACAGCAACTGATTGTGAGGTATAATTTGGCATTGAAGAAGCGGTTGGGGGTGACTGTGGTGGAAATGAAAATGGTAAGCCAGCTGGAAAGGCCGCATTGCTGAATTGACCATTTTGTGGTGTTGCTTGACTCATCATAGTTTTAAATGCTTGTTGCATTGCATATTGCTGAAGAAAACATGCAAGCTACATTATTTGCAAACGAACCATTGCTTTAACATTTTACTGACAATAGCCATTATTCTAGAGCTTTGAACTATCATGCACTCAATTTTTTTAAAAAGACAAAACAGTTGCACAGAAAGATATCCTTGACATGTTAAATTTACCGCTATACCCAAAATTTGAAATGAGAAAGGGCTAATCAGTCAAGACAACACAAACCACAATTCATTTTAGAATATGACTCAACTTTCGTTTTTAAAGGGAAAAACCGGGATGCCAAAACTGAACATCCAGAGCCAGAAGTACAACGTAAACAGAATGCAATGGAAGAGAAGGTAAAATAATTCCTTTATTGGCTTATTTCAACATGCCTAGATAAAACAACCTTAAGAGGCAACAATTATGGATTAGTTCAGGAAAAAGAACATTAAAACTAGAATATTTTTGGCAAGTCAAAAGAATATTGACAATGTTGAATATGATATAGATGGTATAGGAAAAATTACAGATATAGCTTTGTAGCATAACTAAGAGGCTCATTGCCCTACATTGGTGCCCCTCTACCACCGTCAAACTCTCAAAATTTCCTTTACATTTTCACCACATCATTCCTCCCTCCCACCGCACTGAACATTTTGTGACAGATCTTCCCATTTCCCCAACACCCTCTAACCAAATCTAAAAGAGGTTGTGTGACCAAGACAATATCTAAAATGAAACAAATCTCCAATGCAAGCTCAAATCTCATCCAATATAAAAAATAAGAAATGTACAAATCTGTAAGTGAATGTGAAATGTGATTAAATATGTTCAGTTTATCGAGAAAATTACTCATAATTCTTGTTTATTAAAAGCATCTTCTCTTAAAAAATTTATTCAACTGCGAAATGAAAAGAAAATGTCATACATTACACATGGCTGTATTTCGTTTAGATTCAAAAAAATTATGGACCAAAATGTATATGGAGTTTTTAAACTTACTGCTTGATGTTTCTTTTATACATAATCTTTGGAGTGCATAGAAAAATAGGTATTCTAGGAGTATTTATTTTATTTTACATAGAATGAATGAACAAATTATCATATTAAGCTTCTAATTTAGCGCATGAAGTTTCTATGATAAAAGTGATCATAGCTTCAAGCATCTCACCATGTTCTAAGTAAAAAAGTTGGATTGCTTCACACATCTCAAGATACTCAATGTCCTATGGGGTAATTTTCTTTTACCAAGTACTTCCAATCCAAGTAATTATCATGCCTCAAAAACAGTTGGTTTGGTTTAAAACATTATAATAGATCCGAAAAGCATAACCAAGGAATTTGATCAAATCGATATATAATTTTTATAGATCAAAGACATATGTTAATAATCATAAAATAATTACCAGTTAAAACTACTGGTTGCTGTAGCAAATTCCTGTCTGCGATTCTGATTATATGCTACACAGAAAATTACAATAGTCTACAAGAGCATCCACAAACAGTGTAGCCCATAAAACTTTAATTTACAAAGAACATGACCAACCATATCAGTGTTAGCCCAACCAACCATAACAGAAGCTCTAACTAGAAATCAGTGCAATTCAGAAAGCCTTAAATAGAGATGTTCTATGTACCAATTCAAAGTAGGGTGAATCAGCAAGAACATTGCCTGACCATATTGGAAGTGATAGTTAGGACAACCAGGAATAGGGTTGCTAGTTATATCTGAAATGTAAAAATCACTTGATAACCACCTCAATGTTAATATTGACACAATCAGTTTGATTTGCTTTCACTAAAGGATGGATCGCACTCAAAACTCACACAATACATGATAAATGTACATATATGTTAGACCACATCAAAGTCAAAAGTCCTCAAAGACTATTCTCCTACTAATTTAGGGATATGATCATGAAAGGCACCGTCAACTTCAATGAAGACCATGAGAAGAAATTTTTCTCATATTTTAGTCATCGGATTGTAAAGAGATCAAGAGATCAAATCAATTGAAGTTTCTCAACCTTTAGATCTCTTAATGGAGAATGTAGTAATTTTCACATAACACCATTGATACTGAAGAGGACATTGATACGAGTTTTCCAACAAAGATGGATCATCAATAATAGGCTTGGTGATAAAGATTAGAAGACAATAAGTCCGGACCATTGGCTCGAGACCAATATTATTGCAATATTGTCTTACGCTAAAAAACAATGAGCGTGATCAGGCTGTGTTGTCATCAGTTCGCATCAGTACTTACATTTATTAGCTTAGGAGATGCAAACCAACTGTGCATGTGCTCATAGGTAACTATCTTAATTTTCAGTCTTTTTTTAAAAAATTATAGGCATGCCTGAGTATATGAATTTCTCTAATCAATCTACAACCCAGCCTCTCTTTCTTAAAGCAAAACAATGTGGGGAAAAGGCAAACGTTTGGTTTACACGCCTTAAGTGGAATGCTTGTTTATGTAAAATATAGAAATATTGAAAGAACAAACAAGCAAAAAACAAGAAATAAGCAGGAAAGAAATTACCGCTACAAATAGTTGGAAATAACGATAAAAAAATCAACTTATTAAAACACGCTATGAAGATAGTGGATGAGGTACGCAAAAAAAATAAAAAAAAATACAAATGCTTTGAATGGGAGAATGCACTGAAATAAAATAAACATTACCGTGCCAGCTAAGGCCCATAGTTTGGAGGGAGACCAATTTCAATTTATAAGGGAATGGGAATATTAGCACGAAAGTATTAGCATAGAAAACCATGAACTACTCTTCAATGACCAGCCAAAATATCTTTAACCAGAAAAAAAAGGGGTACAATGATAATTAACTAGCGGTGACATAGAGAACAGCAATTATATATAATTGAATAAGAGCCTTTAACAGGTAGGTGGCGCTCCTATAACTTTTAAATGTACTTTAGTTACCAGCAAAAGCAAACCTTCTGGAACATACCATCAAAAATTCAAGTCAGGGGATTGAAACTCACCTTTACTCTTGTAGCCACCTGAAAAATAAACAATAGTTAAGTAGAGATCACAGAAGATGTTAACTATTGATCACAGAAGATTTATGAAATACGAAGAATTAATAGGCATGAAAATAGTAAGTACTCACCATTGAGAATAATGCTGACAGCCCAACTCCAACTCCAACCCAGAAAAGAGGTGACCCGCTGTGTTGCTCAGAATGATGCAAGGAGTATATTAATATATTTGATTACCGTAAGATAATTACAAAATCATAAATGGTCAGATTTGAGATAAGCTTACAAGTAAGATGGAGGGGTTGGCAATGGGGTCTGAGGAGCAGTGCTAACTGTAGAAATCTCACTGCTATTTGATGATGATATACTAGCAAAATTATGCATTGCAATTTTCCCAAGCACTGAAAACCATTTAGCAATTTTATAACATAACTATACAAACAAAGAACAGAAAAATGAGCATAACATATTCACAGCATAAGGTGCACATACAATTCAATTTCAAAAAGAACTAAAGTTAAAGAGGTTATATTCTTTTATGTAATAGCAGCATCTAGAACTTATATCTAGTAATATTGGCCGTGTAGATGCATAAGAAGCAAGAATCCGTAAATAAGAAACATATTGAAGAAACAATGAGAAGTATTTAAAGTATGCGCCTAACCAAAAAATTCTTTCTTCTAATATTTTTATCTTCCCATTCATTTCCTGTGGACTCTTCGTCTCCTAATTCCTTCCATTCTACCAAAGAATTATCTGTAATAATTCGCAAATCCGAATCGGCTTATTGTTCTCTGATAGCTCCTGCCCCGGTAGAGATTTCTCGGTTTTGAAATTTCTCAAAACCTTGAGTAGTAAAAAAGAGTGGGATGTTGTATTTCCAGGATTGGATTTCACTTGTGTTATGATATTGGCAAGAGAAAAACTGGGCAATTTCTTTGAATGAAGCACCTTTGATGTTCCTGCTTTGCAAAAGTGGTTTATGATTTTTCGTTTGATATGCATCATATATTATTTAAAATAGATTTATTTATAGATGACCAAATTCCGTTGATAGTTCAGCAGGTCCACATTCCAAGCTTTGGTAAATCAATACTTTCTTTTACGAATAAGAAATAATGATGCATTCACAAAAGATAAAGAATGGTATCATTAAATACAAACCCTAACCGAATAAGTTCAAAATGATAAAATGACCCCAATACAAGATTAGGGCCTTAGGCAGCTCTTACCGAGTCCATAGACACCAAAATTGCATAAATCACAGCCCCCTGCTACAAAAAGACCTATGTCACAGTCCTCGCTCATATCAATTGCATCATAACCCCACCTACAAGACAAGTTGCCCAGGGGTGCGCTGCAACTCTAATCCCCAGTCAATCGTAGCTAGAACTCTTGATTAATTTGTTGTTGCATGCATCAATAACATCCTTAATTTTATGCGACAACTTATAACAACAACTTTGATATCTCGTCATCTTGCATTGTATTGATGACTTCTTCAATTATATGGGAATGGGAAGTATCTCATAACTCTTTAATAATAGTGGAAGATTTCAATAAAGCAAGGCTCTGTGGTCTTTCCTCTGATCATGTTTTCTATTTAAAAACTTTGTATACCAATTTTCTACTTTACATAACCTATGAGAGAGATTAAAAATATAATTATATATTTTTGTAATATAATCTAAATATATAACCGGTTAGAGTTTATTGTGTTGGGTTTTTTTTTAATGTATTTTATGTCTATATTAGACAATGTTAGCTCCTTTTTTTTTCCTTCAATTGAGTTTAGGATAACTCTTGAAGAAATGATATGATATTCACTTGAAACAAAATACTTCTTAAAAGAGAATATTGGCAACTTTAATGCTAATATGCCAATACCAAGAAATAGAATGTTCTTATTCAATATTCAAAATGATGGTTCCAAGAGTCTCAAAGCTTGATATAAAAATGCTTCCTGATTATGACATTAACTAAGGCAATTACTTTGGATCTCATTCTCCCTAAAATCAATTTCATTCGCACAAGAAAATTGAAACTATCACTCTGTGGGCTCCGAAAATTCGGCCCCGGCCTCCGCTCGCTTTTCTTATTTGGCGAGGGAGTTTTAACGAACTAAGTTCCGAGGTAAATTTTGGAAGGCAGATGGGTTTGTAGATAAGACACTACCCAGAGATTTCGCCCTCATTTTGCGAGGACTTTATGATCTGAGTTCTGGTTTCCTATAGGCGCAAGCCCCTATAGTTAATTACCCCTCCCGATCACGAGAGAGAACTTTCGATTAAGGCTAGTCGTCAATCAGATACGTATAGAGAATACGTGGTATCTGGCATATAGTAGCGGCATGGGTTTGGAATTTGAAAATTGGTAGAAATTTGATTTGGAAATCGAAGAATTTGGTTTGGAAATAATTGAGAGTTTGGAAGTTTGATATTTAAAACAGAAATTTCACCATCTTGCACTTAAAGCGGATGGTGGGGGAATGGATGATAGACCCGATCAAGATCCCATGGTTCCGTCGTCCCGGGCCATCGTGGTCCCTGGTCTACTTAGTCAGAGGAGGTAGTCGACCCAACCTGACAGAAGGATCCTTGTCGGCAGCCATGGGTTGCTTCGTCCAAGGGAACCTTGTAGACCGGGGTTGAATGTTTGTCTAAAGGGACAAATTTGAATCCACCTTAGCTAACAGAGGGCTTTGTGCCCTATCGATCATATCCTATTGATTCATATCTCAAGGATTTAACGCCATTAAGGAGCGTATTGGCTCTGGCCATAACCGCTATCTGTGGTGCCATTTGGCGGCAAAACCACTCGGTTCAGAGGGCCCCGGGTCATAACCGTTTACCTGCAGTGCCATTTGGCGGCGAAACTGCCGGTTAGAGGACACGTACCACGCCCTTACTGGCAAGAGATTGTTTGAGAATGGATCCTAGTAATATTTTCGACTAGGCATTTAGCTCTTTTGTGAGCTGAGATAAATTTTAATTTGTCCGCCCCGACAAACTGTTGCGGAGGGTGGATGGATTTTGCTTTTAAGTTTTTGGGAATGGATTTTATTTCATTTTTTAAATATTTTTTGGAATTTTGGGATTTTTGGAATTTTAGGTTTTTTGTGGGTATTTGGGTGGAGTTTTGAGTACTTGGTTATGGACATTGGGTGGAACTTTGAGAAATATTGTGAAACCCCTCCAGTTGAGATAACCAATCAATACGGCCATCATCGGGGTGTTTGGGGGTCATTTCTCTTTATGGATTGAACCTTGTCGACTCTGTCGGGCTGTCGGACAGAGGATCGAGTTTTGTAGGCCTTATTGCCCTTTGATAGTGAATTCTCGTTGTTATAGGCCCAATATGAATGTATTAAGACAAATATAACGGTCGTAGCATCGTATATTTGTTTGAGAGTTCGAACCTTGTCGACTCCTATTGACCCGTATAGGAGGATCGGGTTCGAACTAGAATTCACTTGTCACCCGCGCAGCATCCCTAGACGTCACGTGTGTGTAACCAATAACACGCTCGTCGGGGCCATGCGGTTTTAGAATTGTATTTTACCCCTTTTTAGTGTACCTATGTGTATAACAAATTATAGTGCACGTGCAGGGGTATTTTTGGAATAGACGCCTTCTGTCTGCTTGTACGGTGATTGCAGATCCGGTGGCGTGGCGTAGCAGCTTCTGAATTTAATGGTTCGCATGGCTTCGTACAGGTAAGATCTGTCCGTGCACTATTTGTTGATTTTTGTAGGCGGGTCACAGTGCACTAACTAATCTCCTGCCTTTCTCGTAGGTTCTTGCATTTGTTATGATCTTTTGACACATTGTGTTTCGTGAACATCACATCGGGTGTACGACGTGATCTTCTATGATGACTCGTAGGAGTCGACATTCACCATTTTTTTGCTATGATAACTTGTAGGTGTGTAGGTATTTTGTTCACATAGCAGTTATATAGTCTTTGTATACGAAATAACAAGTCGTATGAATTTCTACACCCTTCAGGGGCCTTTGCACTTATTCCATGTTAAATCCTTCTGCTCGCAAGGGGTTGATGTATTTGCTTATATGAATGACTCGTAGGTGGATTAAACTCACTACGACTGTCTCATTCATGTTTGCTAGTGATTCGTTGAATTCAGACAATATGAAATTTCAATGATCCATAAGAGGTCGATGTGTCTATAAGCAGATCGTTATTAACCATCAGGTTGATTGTGTTCATTGTTGATTGCTTCACATGTATTAGCCACCCACTTGCCATATTCATTTAGGTGCCAATTTCCTTGTGCTTATAAGAGACCGCGGTATATTTTCCTGCATGACAAATCTCTCCACTTGCAAGTGGGATGTTGCAATCATCATTTCTCTTTATGATTATTCAAAGTCTCCTTAAGTTCTTGCAAGTTCTTATATTTACATTCACATGGAAATCTTATCCACTTAGTACTCAAACCAATACTCAAATTCAAATCAAGTTTGATTTGAGTTTCCTCTCATTCAACCACATTAGGCTCAAAAATCATTGTTATTCGCATCCAAGCAAAACTCGTTTGAGTTTGTTGAAGATTTGAGTTTGATGTCAAAGTTCTTGTGATCTATCCAAGTTTTGCTTGAGTTCAATTATTCAGGTCAAGCTTAAATGAAATTCTTTTAGTTGAGCTTTGATTCAAGTCCTTCTTGCTCAAGTTACAAGTCCCCACGATTGTTCAAATCATGATCAAATGAGGCCCAAATCATAGCATGTCCTTTTGTATTTTTCTTTTAGGCTCAAATTGAATTAAAAAACTCTTAATATAGTTTGAAGTTCATAAGTCACCCTCACTTGGTTCAAACCCAGTTCAAATGCATGTCCATAAGTTCCTTGTTTGAGTCCGAATTCAAAATGAATCATCTATTCTTGTTTGAGTACAAGTTTTAGTTCTCTTGTTTCAAGTCCAAGCTTATGTTATCATTCAAGTTCATTTAGAGCTTTTATTAATTGCATCAAGTCCACAAGTCCAAATGGTTCCAAGTCCTTGTCTGTATTTCAGACAAAATTTCGGCAGCCTCCCGGCGTCTCCCCCGTTTGGGGAAAACCAAGAGACCGCCTACCCGCCACGTCAATAAAGACGTGCACGGTTGTGTTTGTGAGACACCCGCGGCAGTTTGTATATTTTGTTTCTCCCACCACGACCAATAAAGGCGTGCATGGGTTTTAAAAAGACATTTTTGAAAGATAAAGATTTGATTTCCCCCGCCCGGGGGTACTTATAAGTTACCCCGCTTCGCCCGTACGTGCGCACCGGGGTCCCCATCCCACCGACGGCCATAAAAGGCGTGCATGGGGCGGTTCTTCCGTTTGCACACGATATGAAGCAAGGTTTTAGGTGATTGCCCGCATCGTCGTAGGCTGTCGGACGGGGTCCCAATCCCACCAAGCGCCACTAAAGGCGTGCTTGGGGCGGTTTTCCGGTTCGCCACGAACTTCGAGAACGAGAATCTAAGTTTAGAAGAATCGTACCTGCGGGGTGTTAGTGGTTGACACGTGAATCGAGGGGTCACTCGCCTACCTCGTCGTAGGTGTCGCGCCGCGGTTGCCCTCCCACCACGCTCAATAAAGGCGTGCATGGGCAGACCACCGACTCGACACGTTGGTCGAGGTTAAGAGAGTGGGGGAAGCATTTCTTCTTCTTCCTTTTTTTTAATTAATAATTAGCATTAATTGATTAAAATTAATTACTTAATTATTTTTAATTAGTCATTTATAAATAATTATAATTAATTAAATAATTAATTAAAATTCATTAAAATTAATTAAAATGATAAGTTATAAATTAATTTAATATTAATTATAACTTATTAATTAATTTCAATAAATAATAATTAATTATAATAATTGATAATAATTAACTTATAAATATAACTAATTACAAAATTAATTATAATTAATTATAATTAACTAATATATTATAAAATCAAATTTATATTATATAAAACAAAATTAACCCAAATCCCTCAGTTCTGCAAATTGTCGGGATTTGGCCGAGAATCGCATGAGGGAGAAAGTTACTTACACAGCCGTACGAGCTCACGTTGTTGCTTCCGATCAAATGTTTTAACTTTCGGTCCAACAAGTGGGAATGCGTCGAATGAGCAAGGTCGAACAGCACAGAAGGGGCGAAACGGGGTTGGGCTTACAGTGAGGTAGAGATAAGGGCACGGGAGCTCTCCCTCTCTCGTCTTGGAGTCGGCAAAAGGTAGAGGAGCTCGGGTAAGGGGAGATCGGAAGCTGGGCGTCGGCGCAGGGAGAAGGTAGGGTAAGGATCTCTCCTCTCTCTCTCTCTCTCTCTTTCACTCTCATCTGCTCTCATCTCCTTCTCTTCTCCTCTCTCTCTCTCTCTCTCTCTCTCTCTCTCGGGATGAAGAAGAGGGCACGGCTTTGGTGGAGGTCGGCGGCCTGAGGAGGTTGAAGAGCGAGTGGCTTCGGGCAAGAGAAGTAAGGAGGTGTCGGGAGCTCGATCGCGTGTAAGAAGCAGCAGCCGAAGGAAGTCTCTCCCTCTTCGTTTTATAGACGCGAAGAAGGCAAGGATCGAGGCCTGCGAAGGATTTTCGGGAATCGACGTAAACGGCGCTGCATGTACAGTACTTTTCGGCGAGATTTCAGGCAGATATCGCGGATTCGACAATCTGAGGTATGCGCCATTTCAGCCGGATTTGCGGGATTTGGCCGAGTGACATGGAAAATATATGTATTCTTTAATCCCCCCCTTGTTTCTTTTTGGATTTACTGGTAGAGGTCAACACACTCTTACTAAGCCAAAATGAGCACAACAAACTCTTCCCTTGCATAATTAATTTATACTAATTTAAATCAATCCTAAGTCCTAACCCACTATACTTTTAAAACTATAAGAGAATCAAGCTCTCTATGGGGTTGTTAACCAGCAGTTTTAAGGAAAATTTCAAGTGGAATTTAACCTAAGTATTTATCAAACAATGAAAAAAACCTTGAATCCAATAAAAAATTAAATCCCATTTTGATAAGACTATATTTGAAATTATTTTTGTTTTTAGGGCTTTATTAGTGTTGTCATTAAAGATATGTTTGCATGAGCTTTTACTTGTGTTCAAACACAAGGTGATTTGACCAAGTAGTTTCCTATTTAGGTTGGATTACATCAAGGATCAGCCTTAAGCCCATATATTTTTGTGTTTGTCATGGATGTTCTCACTAGACATTTGCAAGAGGATGTACCTTGGTGCATGCTTTTTGCTGATGATATTCTTCTTGTTGATAAGACTAAAGAGGGAGTTGAAGGTAAACTTGAATTATGGAGGTCAGCCTTAGAGTTCAAAGGTTTTCGCTTGAGTAGATCTAAAACTGAATATATGTAGTGTAATTTTAGTAGCAATAGGCCTAATGAGGGGATTGTGACTTTGAGCGATCAAGTCATTAATAAGAGTACATGTTTTAGATATATTGGATCTATTGTACAGAGTGATGGTGAAATAGATGGAGATATTATCAGCAAAATTCAAGTTGGATGGTTGAAGTGGAGGAATGCATCGGGCTTGTTGTGCGATAGAAAAGTCCCCCTCAAACTTAAGATATAATTCTATAAGATGCTTGTGAGACCTGCAATGCTTTATAGTGTTGAATGTTGGCCATTAAAAGGGAAGCATAAAAGTAAGTTAAGTGTTGCAGAGAAGAGGAAGCTTAGGTGGATGAGTGGCTTTACCGTTAGAGATAGGATACACAATGAGCATATACATGGAAAGGTTGGAGTAGCTCCAGTTGAAGATAAGATTAGAGAGAGTCGCCTTAGATGGTTTGGTCACATGAAACAGAGGCCTTCCGATGACCTGGTTATGAAAGTTGAGGTTTAGATTTGACTTATATTAAGAAAGGTAGAGGTAGACCTAAAAAGACATGGTTAGAAAATATTAGAAATAATATTTCTTTATTAGATTTAAATGAGAGATTGACTTTTAACAGTACACAATGGCGAAAAAGGATTCATGAAGCCAACCCCACGTAATGGGACAAAGGCTTGATGTTGTTGTTGTTGTCGTATTAGTGTTGTTCTTTTTGTATTTTTTTTAAGCTTTATTTTCTTTTTTGTCATTTTATTAATTACTTAAGTAGGAGTAAGGTGGTAAATTCTCTTTTAAGCCTTGAACTCTATAAAGACCTTGCATTCCTTTTGGAAAAGGGGAGTTGGAGTGTTTTATTAAGGGTTTTGAAAATCTGAGAGAGAGGGAGATATCCCATTCCTTGAGGTGGATTTCTCCTAATTTAGAGAGGATATGAAGGAAAGGGGTTGTAGTGGAGTCCGAGACTACAACCAAATCAATCTCCGGCATTCCTAGGCCATCTCCTTGAATCTATCGCGTTCTATCCAGCAGTTTTCCAAGTCTATAAAAGGAGCCAATACATGTCTTGTTGTCCCAAAGGCTTCCCACCATTTTTTTGCATTTGCTCCATTATATATATAAATCTTGTAATATATCTTTGGTTTTTTTTTTTTAACTGCAATCTAGCATTCATTTCTCGTTATCACATTTATACCACGTTCTACAGTAAATCCCAACTTTGCTACATTCCTCAATTCAGTGATTTTAATCAATTTATAGTCAATAAAAACATACCTATGGGGTCGTTGTCACAATCATCCATTTTCATCCTTATTTTTTCCACTCATAGGCAAAGCTACTCCGCAATAGCAGACATCTCTTTTCAATCTCCTTTCGATCGACCCTTACCTCTCTGCAACAATATCCTTCTACTCGACCGTTCCAATCTTCTCTTCCCTGCCTCCATCCCCTAGATTCAGCTCTCCCCTTCTACATCTTAATTCCTCCCCGACTCCAAATCAATATCACTCCATCTCTTCCCAAAGTCAACCACTCTTTCATGCTATTTTAGTTCTAACAATGAATGAACTGCTTGTAGAAATATGAATAAAATTAGTAATTGAAGTTTTCACCATCATGTTAGAAGTGCTACCAAGAATATAGCCATCTAAATTTCTTTTATTGATTCTTAATAGAATGCTTATAACAAGAAGATCAATGAGGTAACAATGTAAATGCTTGGTTAGCTTAAGGAAAAAAGTATAGAGATGTCATTCTCTTATTCAAGTTATTGTCTTTTTTTAAGTATCAAAAGGTTTCTTTGTAATATTGATGTAGCTTTAGTTTTATATCTTTATGAATCTTTGGTGCATAATCTTTTTTAAGCATTATTAATTATTTTTTTATTCTAATTTTTACTCTTTATCATTATTTAGTTGCAACTATAATGAGAGTAAAGTATAAAGAATGCTATGATTTCAATTTTTTGGGTGTTTGGTTTGGAGTAAACCAAATATAAAGCATTTGTGTAGGAGAGCTGGAATACCCCGGAATGCCTATTTTTGCATATTTGACGAATTTGCAATTCTCTCAAATTAGAAGAAATCCAAATGCATTGAAAACTCACAACTAGCTACCATAGCTTCCTCACCCACTGGCAACCATCACCATCCCCCAACTACTGCATACCGCAATCTACCACTTTTCAATGCATTTGAAATGTATCATAACAATAAAAAAAGGTGCTTTAATGCATTTAAATTCTATCCAATTAAACAACTATGCATTTTTAAAATGCATGTACTCCAATTACTCCACATTTTTAAAAATACATGAATTTTCTTTTTAAAAAAATAATACACCAAGCAATCCCTTAATAATTTTCTACCAACTTGAATTTGCTAGTTGGAATGAGAGAGATTATTAGTCAAATTATATCTAGATCATATTTTCTAAATATATACTTAGAGAACTTAAATAGTTTGGATGAGGCTAATGATGATAATGACTATAGCATGATGTAAACTGAATAAAAATGTTGTAGAATTGTTAATAATGCATTACCTAAACAGATCAATTCGCAAAATTAAGCTTTTTATCATATGATGCACATTTCATTCCCTTGAAACTTATTTGATGACTTCTGTTTATATTAATAATCTTATAGAGAGCTTTGTTTTATGTAGTCACCAACCTAAAATACGTTTTACGTCATAAAAATTTTCATCATGTACCATTGATGACTTGCAGTAATGTTGTTCTCTATGGAAGGGGAAAGTTTATTTGTTCAAGTTTTAGTTGACTCAACCAAATAAAATTTTAAATCCTGAAATATATATCAAACAGATTGCCAAAATTTAAATTTAACAACTACCATGTAAACTGTTTTCAGCATTTAACCCTCATATAATTTATTAAATCCGGATTTAACAGAATTATTAATTCCTACTAGCAGTCAAACCGCCCTTTAGTTAAAATAACTGTGCTAGCAATCGAATCCCCAGAAATGCATAAAACAAGTACCTGTCCTCGAAATTCTCTGCGAAGCATCGTCGCTGTTATCGCGTCTAATGGACGAAGCAAGGAACCTGGAGTCTCTTGATCTACGGATTCCTCTCCCGCTCGCCGGCACCGAATGTAATGGAAAGGCTGGCCATCGCCGGATTCGGTTATCGTTAGCGGCCGGGAAACTGGCGAAGACGGAGAGTTTGCTCGAGGCCAGCGCAAGATGTTCCATTTCCTGCAAGCCACAAAGCAGACTTCCTAGACCCTAACTGCTCGCGAGGGTTTATGCTATGGGGGAGAGAGAGAGGAGGACCGAAGTGAGGCCCGTGCCGTGCCCGTGGTGTGACCGGTCACCGAGCAGTAAATGATAATAACTTAATAAGAGAAAGTTGCTTTCCCAATATGCCCCTGCCACAACTGCTGGTTTCTATATTTACTGGGCCGTAAACGGGGAACTTTTATTTGGTCCGGTGTACGTTCGGTCACCAATGTATTAGCGCCACGTAGCAGGAAGAAAAGATGCCAACCTGATCCGCTGTTTTTTGGGTTCTCGCACATGCATTTTCTTAACTCTCTCTCCAAAGGATTTGGCCGAAGAACCGCGTATAAGAGAGATACAGCGAGCTCCCGTTTTTGCTTGCGATCAAAATGGAGTAACTTTCCATCCTGAAGAAGGGAATGACGTCGGAGAGTATGGGGAAGAAGCTCTCTCTCTCTCTCTCTCTGTGTGCTGAAGGGATCGAAAGGGGGGAGGCGTCGGACTTTGCTGAAAAAATGGAGAAAGGTTAGTGGAAGATCAACCTATGGAGAAGGAGATAGGGTCGGAGAAGCTTCGGCTTGCGCTGCCTTGGAGTCGATAGAAAATAATAGTTTTTTCTAGCAATACCGAGCAAATCCCTAGCAATACCGAGCAAATCCTAAGCAAATACTGAGTTTTTTCTAGCAATACCGAGTTGTACTGAGTTTTTTCTAGCAATACCGAGTTGTGCCGAGTTGTACTGAGTTTTTTCTAGCAAATCCTGAGCAAATACCGAGCAAATCCTGAACAATACCGAGTTGTATTGAGTTTTTTTCTAACAATACCGAGCAAATACCTAGCAATACCGAGCAAATCCTAAGCAATACCGAGTTGTACTGAGTTTTTTCTAATAATACCGAGCAAATACCTAGCACCGAGTTGTACTGAGTTTTTTCTAGCAATACCGAGTTGTACCGAGTTGTAAATACCGAGTTGTACCGAGTTGTACTGAGTTTTTTCTAGCAAATTCTGAGCAAATACCGAGCAAATCCTGAGAAATACAGAGTTGTACTGAGTTTTTTCTAACAATACCGAGCAAATACCTAGCAATACCGAGCAAATCCTGAGCAAATACTGAGTTGTACCGAGTTGTACTGAGTTTTTTCTTGCAATACCGAGCAAATACCTAGCAATACCGAGCAAATCTCTAGCAATACCGAGCAAATCCTGAGCAAATACCAAGTTGTACCGAGTTGTAAAAAACTCGGTACAACTCGGTATTTGCATGGTATTGGTCTTCACAGAGCGATATTTCTCATTTTTACAAAGCAATACCTAGCAAATACCGAGATATCGAGAAAATCGCGAACATAGCATTTCCGGGTTCTGCTCCGGGTCAAGTCGTCGGGCCGCGCGGTTTAGAGTAAGAGCACGTGGCGACATGTTATTGGCGGCCGAACGTAGCTCTACGTCAGGTCAGAGGACGTAATAATTGTTCGTAAACGGGAGCCCATTATATTTGAGTGAACGTAAAAATTCGGAAGCCCATAACTTGTTCTATAGCGTTGGTCTAGTGATCCCAATTTAATTGATTCCGGAAAATAATGCATTAAATAATGTTATTTATTTAATATTTTTATATATTTTGATCTTGCATTAATTTAATATTTTAATTTACGTTAAAGACAAGAATAATGAATATTTATTTAAATAAAACATAAAAACATTAATAGAATTTGATTTTTTTTTTCTTTGATAAAAAGTACATTATTTTCATTATTTGCAAATTTTGAAAATTGTTGTCTTTTTTCGCAGAAAAAAAGCTTCAATTATTTTTTATACAAATTTTCTTATGATTACATTCAACTCATATGATTCATTTTATTGTGCAGCTTGCTGGTAAGACAAAAGGGTGGAAGCCCCGAAGCCATACTTTTTTGTCAATTTGAACCGTTTACAATCTTGCCATTAGCTTCACTAAGGCTTCATTTGGGGCATTTTTTTCATTGCTTTGTCTTTTAAATCACAATTATAATTTTTATTTTACAACTATTTTTTTATTATTTTCAATAAATTTTTATGCAGCAAAACTATTTTTTACATCAATTCTTAAAAAAATTATTTTCATCATAATAAATCTATAATCTTTTTTATAAAAAAACTGCAATCATAATTATTACAGACGAACCCTAACACCTGTCAAAATTCTGGAGAAAAATCACAGTTGGTAAAAAAAAATAATAATAAAGGTAAAAAACTATAATAATAATAATAATAATAATAATAATAATGTATTTCTCGTTTTGTGCCTGCGATCTTAGTGCCGGCCGAACGTAGCTCTACGTACGTTCACCGGACCAAATAAAAGTTCCTTAGATAAGAAGGTAAATGAAAGATTTGAATTATGACTAACTGACTTTTAGGCCCATGAATGCTCAAGACAACAAAGAGGTTAACTTAAAAATCATAAATACTTAAGTATGATTAATAATAATTAATAAACTATTGTTAGTAAGCTAATTTATTCTGATTAATAGAGTATTCAAATTAATTAAATACAAAAAATTAAGTCTCGATTCTAAATAAGTTGTTTTAAGTTAAGTGACCTAAAAATCGTTAAGACTATTAAGAATAAATGATATACTAATCAGGTTAACGATGAACATTGAATTATATTACTTAAATGCTAATGAAAGTTCTACAATTTAATTTCGCATTTATTCAATAAGCTAACTAAAGTAATCCATTTTGGGAAGAATAAAGCTCTATTTACTTTTTGAAACAAGATTATGATTACTAAATGAAAATTACTAGATTAACTGATTCATATTTTGGAGGAATAAAACTAGATTTGCAGAAGGGGAAGAATTGGTTAAAATATAATTAAGATAGATACTAAAGTAACTGAATTTAATTTGAACTGAATATTACATAAAATTTGATTAATCAATCGTGTATTGCCCTCATCTCAAAATAAATAAAATCACCTCAAGATCCATATTTTGGCTAGAATATAAAATCTAATTTTGTCCAAGGAAAAAATAGCTTTTTCTAAATCAAACACTACTTTGTCAACAAATATGATGCTTGGTTGACAATCTCAAAGAACTGAACAGGAACTTCAGTGTTCAATTTTAATGACATTATCTATCAAGGAGCAAAGAGATTATTCTGTGCGGAGTCCGAACGTGTCTGGAGGCCAATCCGGACGCGCCACATCATCTAATGCATTGTGCAATGCATTGGGTGACATGACGCGTCCGAATTAGCCTCCGCACATGTCCGGACACTACACATAATAATTTTTCGTGTAGCAGTGATCAACCATCCGCCCCAACCCAAAAGCAACCTGAGAGCAAATCGCAACTCTCATGGCTTTGAAAGCATAGTATGGCAATCACTCCATATCAACGAAACGGGCCTAAATATCTTCTTGATAAGGATAACAACACAAACAATCCTTTAGTTTTCGAATGATGGCCTTCTCATAGTATATTAGTATGTAAGAATAGATTATTGAATTGAAAAACGGTAACAATTTCAAAATTCCTGATAACAAAGATTACTTGTGAAGATTGTTTCTTTGCTGCGGGGATCCATGCAAAAAGGAACATCAAAATTTTCTCTCCCACATTATTTCTTTAATCTTGTAGTGCTCTCCAAATTGAGATCCTGGAGGTTAAGCAACAGCTCGTTTGAGTTTAGAAACACCCTGTTAGCAGAATTCGAAATTGTTTGAGCTACTTCCCTTGCAGCTTCAATCTGCCTCAATGCAAGGAATGCTGGGTTGTTTGCGATTGCTTCTCCAATAAGCTGAGCACTCTTGGCCTCACCCTGCGAAATAAAAGACAAAAGTTCAAGCATCTTAAAAACATGCACAAAAAACTTCAATAGCAGAGGCAGATCCGACGATCCTTGCAAACAACTATTTACCCTTCGCGTCACATACCGTTTATAGTTTCAGTCATTTTAGTAGCAGGTCCATACGGTTAGAAAAATCTTTCATTCATGCTAGATATGAGAAGTGTGTTAGACCAGTCCCACCTGAATCAGACATGGTTGGGCCAGTCCCTGACTCCACCTGGACCAGCCAAAGCACATGCCAAGCAGAACAAAGTTCCACACGGATGACTCCTGCACCCATTGGGGGGGAATTTTTATTCTGTGCGGAGTCCGGACGTCGTCCAGAGACCAATAAAAATGAGCCACGACGCTCAATATCAAGTGGTATTGGATGGTTCTCCTGTCCGGTGTCCGCACAGAATAATCTCTCCTTGGGGTGGGGCTCGAGGGGAATTTTCAAATAAGGGAAGGGGGAGGGAAAGCCAATTTGGGAGGTCTATTTTGGGATTTTGTTGTATTAGTGTATGCTTTAAGTAGATTTTTTTTTTCCCTTGGGTTAGAATTATGTTATGTTTTGTTGAATTTAGTTTAGGTTGAGAGGGCTCTAGCCGGTGGCCAGGGATTTGAGAGAGCCGGACCTTCCTCTTAAATTGAAGATCCAACTATATTTTGTATTTCTTTCATCGTTACTTCAATAAAAAGGGTTTTTGTATGTTTGTCTTTGTATTCTTTTTGCTGAAATTGAAGGGTTTTCTTAAATTCTGCATTTACTCCTATCAAAGTGTTGATACTATACCAACAACAAAGTGCAAATTCCTAATTTCAAAACATCAAATTTGTTGCTGTTATCAGAATAGTAATTCGAAATTTAGAGAACCACCCAGAAGATGTCCCCTAGGCATATTCTTTACATAACTAAAGAACTGAATACTATATTAAATTGTCCAAATGAGCAACAACAAGCAGTTAAGTGGCCAAACAAAAGCAGCAACATACAGAAAACTAAAAGCTATCAATCTAAGAATACTACAGATGTGATTGATAAAAAAATAAATCAAGCTGTGTCACAAAGTTAAAAAGTTAGAAGTCAAATGAAAGTAGTTTTTTAGTTATATTTCCAAGAATTGATATATATTTCTTACATGCAGAAGGCTAAAGAAAGCTGCAATAAAGGAAACAAAATGAAGTATTTGAAACAAATGAAGCATACATAAAATTATTGCTCACCTGAGCTCTGATTACAGCACTCTTTTTATCCTGCTCAGCCTTTTCCACAATAAACTTGGCTCTCTCAGCATCCTGTGCAGCCACCTGTTTAGCTTCAATAGCATGAGTGAACTCCTTCCCAAAGCTCAGAGTTGTAATGGATACATCATCCAGCGCAATGTTGAAGTTTAATGCCCTCTGCGTCAAGATCTTCCTTATTTCCCTGCTCACAGCCTACACACAAAATGTCATATTTCTTCAAATTATATAAAAAAGTAACGTTCATCTTTGTCTGCAATATTGATATGGAAACCTTAGCTTTTGGCAAAGAAGTTCTGAACTTATTTATTTAACAAAATCGATACCTCTCTTTGTGTGATGAGCTGGCTAGCATTGTATTGTGCTACGACAGCTTTCAAAGTTTCGTGGATAATTGATGGCAGAACCCTTTCATTATAGTTCTCTCCAAGAGTTCGGTATATTGTTGGTAACTGATCGGGCAAAGGACGGGTAAGAACTCGAAGGCCGATTTTAACCTAGGAACCAGAAGTTACAACATATAAAACTGCAGGAACTCAGACAACATATATTGTCCTATGGCTAGGCTTATATAGATTTACATGCATGATAGCAAATAATGATATTATAAGGATTAAGCATGGCCCAAAAAAAAAAAGGATCTGAAAGAGAGATTATCCTCAGACAAAACATAGATAATTCCAAACAAACTTTAGCTAACTTGCACAAGGCATTGATCTCCAAACAATACTGCATAAAGTGATACAGAATTATTCAGAAACTTAACATTGCATTACAAAAATGAAAATAAAAAATAATCAACTTTAATATTGATAATTTATCAAACAAATTTTTCCAAAGATGAGCATCATGAATAATGATAAGGTTGGGCGGTTTTGAAACACCATAGACTTGTATGACCAATTCTAGATATGACAGTCATTCCAAAAAGCCCATACCACCCACATAAGTATAGGTAAAGTAGAGCATCACAATTGTCATTCATCTGCTGTAACCATCAACCAATGTCTTGTTAAAACAACCTTGCTAGATCATATTACACTACAGGCGGCTGAGTGAGCATGTGAAAGCCACAACCTTAGCTCATGCTCCTAACAAAAACAAATGAGCATAAAATTCCAAGGAATATTAAAGTAAGCCAACAAAGCTCAATCAGGTGAAACAAAGGTTGGAACAAGCAGCATAAAAATGAAATGATTCTTCAGTTCAGAAAATTATTCATTGATAATAGAAGCTATTGAGATCAACCAACACAAATTCACTTACAACAAAAACAAAGGTCAACATAAACAAAAAGGCGGCATTCTAGCACTCAATATGACAGAAATTCAGACACTAAAAAGATCAGAATCATTTTCACAACGGTCAAAATAAACAAAAAGGGGCATGCTAGCACTCACAATAATAGAAATTCAGGCACTATAAAGATTAGAATCTTTTTCAGCAAAAAGGGAAATGGTAATGATGGGGACATCAGTAGCGATTTCGACACATGTACCTTCAGGAGATGCCGAAGATCGACGGCCACGATCATGATTTGTATTTTCATCATTTTATGTAGTAGTTTATTTTTATTTTATGTTTTTCCGTTTTTACCCTTATGGGTATTTGGTAGCTATTGTAGCCCAAGGGGCATTTTAGTACTTTACTTTCTTTGTTATTTTGAGGCCTATTTATATGGCCCTTTTCTCATGTAAGAGTTAGTTTTTGATGAAATGAAAATTACTTTGTGTTCTCTTTGTGAGTGCCTCCTCTCTCTCAAATCTCTTAGTGAGTTTTGAGAAGAGCTAGATCTCTTTGTGAGTTCTAGACCTTCCTCCATTTTATTTTTGTAATCAATTAGTGTGAAAACTCAAAAGAATACACCCGGATTGTATTCTTCTTGAGCTTCCTCCCCACAACCCCTTCCACCAAGCACTCCCGCCACCTACCCTGTCCAGCCGCCGACCAGCAGCAGGCCAGCCACCCGCCGGCCTGCAGCCTTGCCGCCGCCTGCTCCCTTAGCCACCCAGGCCGCCAGCCACCAGGCCCCCAGCTCCCGCCGGTCAGCCACCCTTCCCCACCTTGGCTGCCCTTGCCTCCTTCCTCCAACCGCCGGCTCCTTTTTCCCCCCATGAATTTCAAAATTTGAAATTCTAGATGTTTATGAGCCATTACTTGTTTCCTATTTTGGCTCCTTGAATTACGCTTTCAATTTAATTGGATTTCAAATTTCACATTTGGCATTCCTATTATTAAATTGATTGATCTCTTAATTAGGAAGTTTTTTTTTTCCCTAAGAAAACTGAAACTTGATTTCAGTTTTTGCAAAACCTGAAATTAAGTGGTGGTCCCCGCTTCTTCCTAAATCACCTGTCTCTCCTCCTCTTGTGGCCGGCCCTCCCTTCTCCTTCTCCCACAATTAATTCTTTAATAATTCACCATCATGTCTTGCCTTTACCGACTAATTTTCAAATTTGAATTCTCTAAATTGAGATTAAGTCCTCAATCATTGAAGTAAAAATCTGAATTGAATTCAGATTTTGTTATTTTCCCACTGAGCTCCACCCGTCTCACCCTCTCCCCTCTCCAACCCGTGACTCCTCCCTCTTTTGCTCACGGTTCTATTATTCCCTCTCACCCCCACCTCCCCAAGTCCCGCCCAAAGTCCAAACTGCCTCTGTCCTGACGTTTGGCTTGCTGCCCCCTTATGCCAGTAGGAAGATCTTGCTGTCCAGCACACTGGACACCCACAATTTGATGTCCCGAGTTTCCAGCAGCCTAGAAGAGCCGTCCAACATCTCTTGTACCTTCAAGGTTGCTGTCCAAGATCTGTCCAAGACCAAACTGCTGCTGTCCAGAGGAATTCGGCATCTCTTCCTGCTGTCCAGCCAGTCGGGAGAGCTTCGGATGCTGTCCTAAAGTTTCCGATTGCTGTCCACCACATCAAGAAGGTTTTTTGTTGCCGTCTACTTCATCTCAAGCATTCAAACAGCCACTAAAGCTTCATGTCTTCTATTTCTTTGGGTAAACTCATCATCCGACCCTTTTATCTTTGTAGCAACTTATCTATTGTTGTGATATCTTGATTCATGAAAATCATGCTAATCTTCTCCGCTAGAACCTAATAATTGGATGAGTTGTGTGTGAGGGATCTTCTCATAGCAACTAATCTTATTGTTAGTCTAGGGATATTTGTGGAAAATCATTCATGTACGCAACGTTAGATTGACTTGATTGTTATGTGATCTTAACTCTTACCCGTGTGATTCAACCGTAAGCTCGTTTTTCCGTTCTTAATGTTTTATCTCGTCGTTCAAATTATTATAAAGATATAATTATTGGTTCTATCTAAAATTAAGCGTGCAAGCTTTCATTATGAAACCCATCATCGCATGTACGTTCCACATCATCTTGGTATCAGAGCATGGTTTGCTCTAGTTTTGCATGCTAGACATCAGCCTAGGAGTTGTTTTAACTAATTTTACACGTTGTTGCATGCATTCTATCATTTAAATCAGTTTAGTTACATTTTATGCTTGCTGACCACTGCATTCCTGCATGCATTTGGAGGTTGTTAAGCTTGTTTATCAATGGTTCAAGTGTTGTCCTTAACCTAGCTGCTTCATTAGTTGTCTAGGTTACTTACACATTTTATGGTTTGCTGTCCACACAAAATCTGCACCATTTAGTAACCATTTGGGCTAGATTTAGGACTCTTTCACTTTCTGTCCACGCTCTACAGTCCACCCAAATGGCTTAGGTGACTTCGTCCTCCACATTAGTTTGCTGCCCTACTGTTTCCCGCACCCTTTGGAGTCTGTAGGAGTGTTGTTTTAGAGTGTTTAGGTGCTGTCCACTTCCTAAAACCCTTCCTAAACACTTAGATAACTTTATGCCATGTTGTAGTTTGCTGCCCACTTCATTCCTGCACACATCTAGTGAGCTGTAGGCTAGTTTCTTAAGCGTTTAAGGTGTTGTCCTCAACCTAACAACCTTCCTAAGTGCCTAGGTTACCTAACCCACTAGTGTAGCTGCTGTCCGAACTTTTTTCGGCACTTTGTAGTGAGTCTAAGTGAGCCTAACTTAGTGTCTATATGACGTCCCTTACACCCAATCCTTGAGTATCACTTGACGCTTCCCAATGGACCCGATAAGACTCCAAAAGAGTTTAGATGACATTGTTAACCTAGTGGGCAATATGACTAGAATTATGACAGAGAAACCTGTTGACTATACCCACTCGAATTATGTATCCCACTCTGCCTTTCAACCTAGACCAGAGTTTAAGCCACAACGACCTCACTTAGAGTCACCTTACCGTCTACCCACCTTTGATGGTTCCTTGGACCCTTATGACATTAGGGATTGGGTTAGACAACTAGAGGATTATTTTGAATCTTGTCATATCCCTGAGTCCCACCAGATTAGGATCGCTAAGTCTTACCTTAAAGGTCGAGCTATTCAATTTTGGATGACTAAATTTTATATCTCAATTTTCATCAATTTCTATCAAGGGATCATTTAAGATCCATTTTATAGAGCCGAATGACTAAATTGGAAATAACTCGACACATGTTTGACAATGACAAATGGATTTGCTCCTTCTTGCCTCCAATGCACTAGCCTTTATGGAACGTTTTCTCCAATTGTTCAACAACAATAACAACTACATCAAGCATTTATCCCACTATGTGGGGTCGGCTACATGAATCATTTATTCCTTTTTCTCCATTGTGCATTGTTAAAAGTTAAATTCACATTTAAATCTAATAAAGAAAGGTCATTTCTAATATTTTTTAACAAAGTCTTTTTAGGTCTACCTGTATCTTTCTAATACATTTACTTTCCTAACTGGGTCATCAGAAGGTCAACGTTTTATGTGACCAAATCATCTAAGGCGGCTCTCTTTAATCTTATCTTCCACTCGAGCTACTCCAACCTTTTTCACATATATGTTTATTTCGTATCATGTCTCTAAGAGTAAAGGCACTCATCCACCTGAGCACCCTCATCTCTGCAACACTTAACTTAATATTAAGCTTCTCTTTTTCTGCATCATAAAGCATTGCAGATCTAAATTGACAAATTTTCACACTAATATTTTTTTAAGGTGACAAGGCAAGGAATTTTTTTGGTAAAAGTATAAACAAACCATGGTCATCTATAATAACATTTCGAAAATGAGGTGGTACTTTCAATTTTGTAGCAATTAAGAAGTTTGAATGCCATATGAGTAATAAGAAGAATTAGGTGTCATAAATCTAACTAAAAGAGATTTCAGTACATTATAGGTGAAAACCCCAAATAACAATATGATCGTGAATTTGATGATTAAGGCATCCTTAGTTGCATTCCTTCCCAATCGATTACCATTCTGGCAATAAATTAAGATGATGAGAAGGGGCAAACATTTCAAATGCATAAGTTGGATGATATTTTGAAAGCATACCATCTGAAGGTCACGACTACCAGAAGTACTCTCGACAAGGTGTGGACGAGCACGAACATCATATATGATTGGTCTCTCAAACCAAGGGATGATCAAATGAGTTCCCTCAGGATAAACCTGCACAAATATTCTCATAATCAAATAAAGAATGATTTGCAAAACTAAGAAACTATTATGCATATAAAAGAAAAATATCAGTAACTAGCCCAGCAGATCACTTACCCAGAACTCACAAAAAGATGTAAGAACATTAAACAACAAAAAAAATGAACAAATGAGCTTGCTTCCCACAAAACCCTCATTCAAAATAATGCTTTTCTTTCCATCTTAATTCTTTATTGGGCTACTACAGTGTTGTTCTATTCCAAACATCTAAGCTAAACCTCAGTGATCACTCCTCTCCAAGGTGAATCACTTTCTTTGGATGAGTATTAGAATGCTAGTTGAATGCATACCATGGCTTATTTTACAGTCAGACCAAACTTCAAATTCTGAGTATTACAATACTGTTGATTGCTACTCTGCACTGTGTGTATTCCGGCTTATTTTACATTCAGACCCAAACTCAAAACAATCACATTTGGTGCACAATCTTCTTCCATAGCAGAGACAAGGTTGGAATGTAGACACTAGGTTAATATGAATTGAAGACAATTATATCAAAAATCACATTACATAACAACTAAAACTCCTTTATGATTAAATATATATTAAAAAAAACAACATCTAAAATACAATAGATGTAGGATGTATGCTACAAAAAATTAGAATATTTTTACCATCAAGAAAGGTAAATGCTGGAAAAATAAGTTGGTTTAAATGGGTTCTTCCCATATCATCTGACTTATTACAACCAAATAAAAAATAAAATAATAATAATAATAATAATAATAATAATAATAATAATAATAATAATAATAATAAACTGACTAGTTAAAACCAAAGGATTCCTTAGGTCCACCATTTCATCAATATCTCAAAACTTGAACAATCAACTACACTGACAAAAAACATGATGCATACCCGTTTGTTATTTATTTGCTGAATTCACTTCAGTGCTGCCCCTATCAAGGACGCATGTGTTGTGAGAGAGAGATAAATGTGAAGGTTTTGCATTCCATAGGTGCACCATTGCATCTTCATTCTTAAAAGTACAAGTAAATAACTGGAAAGAGTTGCAATTATTTATGATCTAATAAGGCACAATTAAAATGATGAAGACACTGAGTGATGCAGACATCCAACCGTCCATGCTTATCCAAGGAGGAGCTGAAGATCGACGGCCGAGATCACTTTATTTCATTTTAGTTTATTAAGTGTATTTTTATTTAATTTTATATTTTCCCTTTTTTACCCTCTTGTCTTATGTAAGCCCAATGGGCAAAATTGTCTTTTATTTTCTTTTAAAGCCCATATATAGAGGCTCTTGCTCTTGTAATAGGGAATGATGGATTAATAAAAAAAAAATTGTGTTTTGCACTTGTGTTCTTTGGGAAGAACGTTAGTGAAATCCCTATGGGAGGGAGTCGGAGTTTCCACCAGCCGCAGGATGGGTCCGGGCTCTCTGAAACCGTTTTCAGATTTTAAGAGAAGAGGTTTAGAGCTTGCATCCTCTCTCAAATCAAGAGAACCTCTATTTTCTAGAGAGAAATCTGAGGTTCTTCTCAGGTTTTTGGCAAAAAAGTCATAATTTCCTTCAGGTTTTGGAGAAGAGATTCTTTCGCTAGCAAAGTTCAATTTTCGTTCTACATCACTGAGTTTTGGAGATTAACCACCCGATCCTTACTGACAGTTACAGAAGTTTCCACAAGGATGTCCTGTCATTGTCATAGTCTTCAACAAAAGTATTAAGGTCAGGATTTATGGCTTGCAGGGATTGAGATTAGAGATCTTCCTCTTCTCCTTGATAGTTTATACAAATTCCAGCTCCCTTGACCCTTTAGTTGGAGGTTAAATGGGCAAGGGAGGAACAAATTCTTTGTTGAAGGGTGATTCCTCAGAGGGTTTTTTAAGAAGTTATGCCGTTCAGCTATGGTTTATTTACCATGGATGTGAAATTTGAAGGAATTAAAGAAGCCATATTGACAATGCTAAAGTATTTCCTTCGCCACTATATGCGCTAATTATCAATAAGAAGGCTTTTCGTATCCAACAAAGGAGTTTCAGGAAGTAGAACCATTTCAGAGAAAAAAACAAATGTTGAAGAAACAGAATAGGATAAATAGTCTTATAAGAAGATGTCAATGGTTAAGAATTATTATTTAAATTTAATGTGTGGAAGTGTTTAAGCTCCAATGAAGCATTTTGGACGCAAAAGAAGCGTTTTGCAAAAGACATATTAGTTAAATTTAAAGACGGATATTTATTTGAGAAGAAATGTAAATTATTTTTATAATAATAATTTATAAATCAAATTGATCACTGCAGCTGAAGGATTTAATTAATAAATTTATTGGTATTAATTTATAACAATTACTGAACAATGACAAAGCTACCTAGTTTAAATTTATTAGAAATGTGAATATTATATGGCTATGATTCAATTCATCTACTCAAACTATTTAAAATAAATGACTAAGATTCAATTTGGGAAGAATCACAAGCCACTTTTATGATAGTAGCATAGATATAAACACGAATCTCCTATTTCATCTCCTGAAGCACTTTAACACATACTACAATGCCTTTATGAGAACCAGATAAACCTTTCATTCTAGATACATCACCTTTAACCATTTTTATCAGAATAACTACACTACAACTATGTCTTTTCACTCCCTCCAATTTGCATGTGCACAATATGCTTCCATGTCGGATCTTGCCTATTTACCATTAAGCTTTTCTCGGAACCTCTAACTACTATAGGAAACCCTCAATTGAATATTTTCATCTAAAAAAAGAGATTATGAAATGCAAATGAGTTCTCACCAATAAGAGGAGAGGCATCGGAGGAGGACAACAGGACAAAACAACGACGGTGCCAATGCAACAGCGGCTGAGCAACACTGTGCAGATAAGTAGTAGTGGCGTGCGGGTAGGGGGGGTTGGGGATAGATCCGAGAGCTTTTCAATTTCTACTTAGAATTAGAAGTAATTAATAATAAAATGAGGCTTTGGGTATATATTTGATTTAAATTAAAATCTTCAAATCACCCAAACTATTAACATTTAGGACTTGCACCTCTTATTTATCACATAAAGGTGCACCACGAGGCAAACCTTAGACTTGTTGAGTCATATGACTCAACAAGACCAAAATGAGGTATGTCTCATGGCAACTTTTCTAAAAAAACACCAAGACACTCCTCTTAGTATGCAATATTAAACAAAGTCTCGAAAACCCTTCCAACATCCCCCCCCCCCCCTCCCCCCCCTATAACACTTTCTTCCCCTCCCCCCCCAAAAAAAAAAAAAAATTTACTTGTTGCCTAAACAAATTCTCTTTAAACTCATTATTCATTGTGGCTTCTCCGTTAAATTTAATTTTCTTAATAAGTTGTTACAATATTAATCAAATTTTGAATCTCACTCAAAACTTGCTTGAATTTTGAGCCAATTGAGAATGAAATTGAGTCATTCGAGTAAAAAATAGGAACAAAATATTTGCTCAATAAAGTTTTAAGCTGATTTCAATGTTGACTTGCTTGAAATATGACTTGAATAAACTAAAATTATATATAATTATACTATATGTATATATAGAGGGTGACAAATACAAAAGAAAAATCAATTATATGTTAGGCTATCGTTTTTCATAATTATTTTCTATCAAAAAAGTGTAATATTTTTATTAAATTTTTAAAAGAATTATGTGCTGTTCATTTCGAGTCAGTACAAGCTAGATCATATTTAAGTTCGATTGAAATAATGCTATGTAAGTTATACATTAATAATTTAAACCGACTTAAACTAATTCAAGTTGCCTCATAATTGATTTATTTCCTTGCTCAACTCAGACTGTAATTCAAATTCCAATAGAAGTTCATCATCCCCAAACAAACCGCAACATCCAATAAAAGAAAAACAAAAAACCCTGATCCAACAAGCATCATGTGGTCAAATAAAAAAAAAAACAATAGAAGCGTTTAACAAACTTGGTAACAATCTAAGTATAGGCCTCTCTTCAGCGAACAGCTGTTCAAAAGTAATCGAACTTTCCGATTTGAAACATGAACCACCAGGAAAGGGCCTCAATGCATCTGTGGTGTCCAACAAACAAAACCCTCGAGCAATCAAAAGATTTAGCAAGTGATATACCGGTATCCAATACGATAGCAATCCACAATCACTTCTACCTAAAATTAAATGCATCAGATACCTTGTCTTTGATTCCTTGAATGCGGTTGAAGACGATGGCCCGGTGACCGCCGTCGACGTTGTAAAGGCTATTGAGAGCGGCGTAGACGCCAGCGCCTCCGATGAGCGCAACCTTCACGAGAGTCGCCGCCGATCCAGCATTCGGAACCCTCGCATTTTTAAAGCTCATCTCTGCTTCCTTCGTAAACCACCCTGAAATCGGTCAAGAATAAAGATGGAATCGCATTCCAAATTACAGCATCAACAAGATTCAACAGCTTACAGATATGCTAACTAGATAGGAACAAAATGGACGTACAGTGGCGGAGAGACGGACGAACTGTAGAGGGTTTAGGGGTTTGGAAGAAGACGCGGCGATCTGGGTAGCTGTAAGTGAGAAGAGTGTATTGGGGAAGAAGAAATACTGAAATGTATTAACGGTCCGATCTATTCGATCGCGTAGTCCGGGAGCAAAATCGGAATTCGGTATTAAAAATCTAAACCCTTAAAATTAAAAAAACAGTTTCTATGTGTAAAATATAAATCTTATATAATCACAAAAAATAATATGATAATTGGGTAAGGAAAATAAATTATTTAACTCTAATTATATTGTAAAGTTTGTCCATGATAATACGCGAATACTCCAGGACGCAACATATATATAAAATAAAAAAATAATTATCAGCATGATAAAATTAAATATCTACTCAAAATGTATAAGCCATATGGAATACTTTATTGAAAGTATATAGATAACTATTTTCCCTAAAAATATAAATATAATTTTATTATTTAAATTACTACATTATCTATTGATTATTAAAACAATCATATATTTTCAATTTTTAACGGTATATATATATTAAATATCACACAAAACTTTTAACTTTTTTCTTAGCAAATATATTTCTATGCACATAAAGTTAGTTTATGATTTTAAACTAAAAGAGAAATTATTATGCATCGAGTCTGGATGATCTGTATTCCAATGAAATGGAGGCATATGATTTGTGGATACTTTTTGTACAATTTATACAAATTCTAGACTTTTTTTCATTGGAGTCCAGACGATTTAAACTCCACATATAATAATTTCTCAGATTGGAACTCCACTGCAATTCCCTCAGGTGATGTAAGGATAAAATTAATTTAAATGTAATCAGTTGAGAGATTAATTGAATTTGATAAATTCTCGGACTATAAGCCACCCTAAACAAAATCTCAAACCTTCACTTGCTCTTATTAAACAGAAAACTTAGTTTCTATTATTTTAGTTTCTTTTATTACTTTACACGTGTATTCACCCTATTGGTGCTATTACTTTTGCCTATCTGTAACTCTATATTAGTAGCATTGTACTCTCTGTTAAGATATTATAATAAAATTCTTTTCTTCCTTATTCACGGTCTTCTTGTTCTTTCTTGTCTTCATTGCTCTGCTTCGGCTTTCATGGTATCAGAGCGGGATTTCATCTAGATCCTCGCTTCTTGTCTCTCTTTTTCGGTTGAAATGGCTACCTCCTCTAACACGGATACGTCCGAACCTCGACAGAACTCCGGTCATAAAACCGATGTTCAATCTTTGCATCAACAACTCAAGTTCTTGATGACTCATATCAAAGGTATTTCTCTCACTCTCACTGCTGAGAACTTCCCCATCTGGAAGTCTCAGGTCTTCAAGCTCTTCAAGGCTAATGGATTTGAGGGATTTCTTGACGGAAGTTGTACCTGTCCCAATCCGTCCATCCCCACCTCCGAAACCGAGCTTTCTTTCCAAACCTGGACTCATCTAGATCAAAACTTGGCTGCTGCACTTTATTCCCTCATCTCTCCCAACATCTTGCCATACGTTCTGTCGCTTGATCACTGTGCGGATATCTGGGAAACAATTGGCCGTCGTCTTCAATCCAACACCCGTTCCCGCACCATTCAATTGCGCAATGAGCTTCATCATCTCTCGATGAAGAATCAAACTATGTCTCAATACCTTCTTGCTGTCAAATCCGTGGTAGACGCTATCGCGGCAACTGGTTCTCCGCTTCATTCAGAGGATGTCATCTTTTATACTCTTAACGGCCTCCCACCCCAATATCAATCTTTCAAAACTTCCATTCGAACCAATCTTCAGCCGCTTAGCCTCGACGATCTGTATACATTGCTTTGTAGTGAAGAACTTAATATTGCGCAAGAATCCGCATTGCAAAATCTTCATCTCACTGACCCGGCCACGGCTCTGACTGCTTATCGCGGACGAAACCGCGGACGGAATCCCTTCAGCCGTGGCAGAAATTCAAACCGTGGCCGAAATCGCTCGGACAAGAATCCTACTAGCAATATTATGTGCCAAATCTGCACCAAATCTGGCCATTCAGCGATCAAATGTTGGTATCGTAATGATCCCTCATACACGGAAGACACCGTCAAGACCGCGCTACTTACTCAATCCGATGCCAACAGCAATACTTCGGACTGGTTTCTGGATAGCGGGGCGACCAATCATCTTACCGCCGATCAAAATAATCTCCAATCCAGTCGATCTTACACTGGTAATCAGCATATTACGATTGGAAACGGCTACCAACTACCAATTCAACACACCGGAAAAGGTATTTTACCGACTCCTACAGGTAATCTTTCCCTTCAACACCTTCTTCATGTTCCAAATCTTTCTTTCAATCTAATATCTATTTATCGTTTAACCAAAGATAACCAATGCTCTGTCAAGTTCTCTGCTCATGATTTTCAAATCCAGGACTCGAAGACGGGTCAAATTCTGCTCAAGGGACCTTGCCTTAACGGGCTTTATCCCATTCTTCTACCAACTACCACTGCTCAGTTCGCTCTCTTCTCAGCTCAAACGGTTCCAGACCTTTGGCACCGTAGACTCGGACATCCGGCTTTGCAAACTGTCCAGACTCTTCGAAAGTTTATTCCTGCAATTTGTTTCACGTCTAATACTAATAACTGTCATAGTTGTAATGTTGCTAAAAGTCGTCGTTTACCTTTTATGTTGTCTAAATCTTTTACTACGCATAGCTTTGAACTGGTTCATTCCGACGTCTGGGGTCCTTCTCCCACGCCATCCGCTCAAGGATACAAATATTACGTTTCCTTTATTGATGATTTTTCTAAATACTGCTGGATTTTTCCGTTATTTCATAAACATGAAGTTTTTGATAAATTTCTTGAATTACATAACTTGATTAAAAATCAATTCAATCAAACTATTAAAATTTTTCGCTCCGACGGCGGAGGTGAGTTTGTCAATAACAAATTCAAAAACTACTTCAAAAACTTCGGCATCATCCACCAGTTTACTTGTCCTTACACGCCGGCTCAGAATGGCGTCGCCGAAAGAAAGCATCGGCACCTACTGGAAACTATGCGAAGTCTTCTTATCGATGCTCATCTACCACAATCGCTCTGGGTAGAAGCCTTGCACACCGCCGTGTATCTTATCAACCGGCTTCCTTCTCGATCGCTCAAGAACATAACACCATATCAATTGCTTTACCGAAAGCCTCCTGCATACAATCATTTAAAAATTTTTGGATGCTGTTGTTATCCCTGGATCCGACCCTATAACACAAATAAACTCTCTCCTCTATCCACTGCATGTGTCTTTATAGGTTATGCCTCTGCCCAGAAAAGATGCCGATGTCTTGATCCTCGTACAGGTTTTGTTTACATATCAAGACATGTCGTATTTAACGAAGGTATATTTCCCTACTCCTCTCATTCTACTAATACCCCTTCTTTACCTGTTACTGAATCTATACCTCCCCTTTTGTTGGTTCCAACTTGTGCTACTAACAACAACATTCGCACATCTTCCGTTATTTACGCTGAGGCTTCTCATCCGGCTAACCCGGTAATATCAGACAACGTCCAACCTGTTCCAACTGAATTGACGTCATCACATTCAACAAGCCAACTTGCTCCAGTACATCATATGCAAACACGATCTAAGACTGGGCATTCTCGGCCAAAGAAGATTTTCAGTCTTCTTCATACTAATACCGATCTTGAACCCACCTGCTACAAGGAAGCCGTGAAATCCAAACACTGGTTACAAGCTATGCATCAAGAGTTTCAGGCACTTAAATCACAAAATACATGGGATCTTGTTCCACCTGACCCATCTCAAAATGTTCTAGGTTGCCGGTGGATCTTTCGTATTAAATATCTCGCCGACGGATCAGTCGCTCGATACAAGGCCAGATTAGTGGCCCAAGGATTCAATCAAGAACAAGGCATCGACTACGCTGAAACATTCAGCCCTGTTGCCAAGATGCCTACGATCCGAATCCTTCTAACCATTGCTTTACATCACCAATGGCCTCTGCATCAGCTCGATGTTTCCAACGCATTTCTCCACGGCAATCTCACTCATCTAGTATATATGAAACAGCCGATTGGGTTCATCGACCAAAATCATCCTAACCATGTTTGTCGCCTTAAAAAGGCACTCTACGGACTTAAACAATCGCCTCGTGAATGGTTCGCTACTTTGACCGGTCATCTACAATCTCTTGGGTTCACCATCAGCTCATCCGATCCATCCCTCTTACTTTACAATCACAACGACATACAAATGTATTTTCTAGTCTACGTCGACGACATTATACTCACTGGAAATTCCGCCACAGCACTCAAGCAGCTCATCAACAATCTCAATGCCACCTTCACTATGCGCGATCTTGGGTCACTGACTCAATTTCTGGGAATACAAGTTACTCCGACGTCGTATGGATTACATCTCTCCCAAAGCCGATTTACCCAGAACATTTTAGCACGAGCAGGTATGACTAATTGCAAAACCGTTGCTACTCCATTTTCAATAAGCTCTAAACAAATAAATCTAACCTCTTCTTTTTCAAATCCGACATTTTATCGTCAAATCGCTGGCTGTCTCCAATATCTTACTCTTACTCGGCCGGACATTGCGTTCACCGTCAACAAGATATGTCAACACATGCAAAATCCGACCACTGCACATTTCGAGGAGCTCAAACGTCTTCTTCGGTATCTACAAGGAACATTGCATCTCGGACTACCTTTATTTCGGGACAAACCTATTCTTCAGTCCTATTCGGATTCTGACTGGGCCGGAGACACCAAAGACCGGAAATCCATGACCGGTTATTGCAACTTTCTCGGTACATCCCTCATCTCATGGAGTGCCAAGAAGCAAAATGCCGTTGCTCGCTCTTCTACTGAAGCAGAATATAGAGCTCTAGCCTCTACGGCCGCCGAGATCACATGGATTCGTCGTCTGCTACAAGAATTACATTGTCCTCAATCATCGGCTACACCGCTTTTTTGTGACAACACCTCTGCTATAGCCTTGGCAACAAATCCGGTCTTCCATGCCAGGTCCAAACACATAGAGGTTGACTGCCATTACATTCGAAATTGTGTTAAAGACAGCACAATTCAACTTCGTCACATACCTACGAAGGATCAATTGGCAGATTTGTTTACTAAACCTCTCCCATCTCCTCGGTTCAAATTACTCACCAACAAGATAATGCAACCGCTGGATACATCATCTTGAGGGGGGATATTAAACAGAAAACTTAGTTTCTATTATTTTAGTTTCTTTTATTACTTTACACGTGTATTCACCCTATTGGTGCTATTACTTTTGCCTATATATAACTCTATATTAGTAGCATTGTACTCTCTGTTAAGATATCATAATAAAATTCTTTTCTTCCTTATTCACCGTCTTCTTGTTCTTTCTTGTCTTCATTGCTCTGCTTCGGCTTTCAGCTCTCACTACAATTCCCTTTTTAAGATCTCAAACAAAATCTCATTCCAGATATCCACTGGTCCCGGCATGCACCAATGTAAACAATCCTCACTCTGTCTCCTCCCACCGATATGTCTCCCCATCAAATTCTTTGCATCTGGATTCCCATATCGCCCTGGATGCCCATCGTGCCGGTATCCAAAGACCTCTGTGATGTCCATCAACCTTAACTTGGAACCATTGCTCACCTTCTTGACAGCTGCTTTGAAGCTTTCAACCTGTTTGTCATGCATCATCACAGTATGTCCATTTCCTGCAAGTTTTCTTGCAGGTTCCGCATTGTTACTGCAAGAGCCTCTGTTGTAATGATCTGGTGAATAAGTTCGGAGAATCGTTATGCCTGTGTAGTTTGGATGAGTTGCTATTGCAGTTAGAACTGTCTCCGTCGCTATATTGTAAGCATTCATGCTGTTGATATGATTTCTTGGATTTCGATCAGAATGCTTGAGCTGGCTTCCAACAATCTCGCCATTGAGGAGGTAGATAGATCCCTTGGAGAACCAGTGGCCTGAAGAGAGGACGACTACATCAAACATCGGAAGGAGTTCAAAGAAGGCTTCATCTGGTTTGTCGAGATGAACCCTAACTATCCCTCGAGAAGCCGACTTGTGGACGAGCCACGAGGACCATATGCGCACAATGGTGGTGGAGGTGGACCTGAAGTGCCATCTGTGCATTCGTCGATTACCACGCATTCTTGGAGCTTCTACCTGTAAGAAAATCGCTTCAGGTGATCTTAGTTTGTCTAGCAGTTCACTGCCTAAACTTCTGAACATTCATATTAATGTGAAAGAGAAGTAAAGTAGAGAATTTTTTTATTTTTACCTGCCATAAAATACAAAGCATAGATTCCATTTGATTTCGAGCAACTGAATCTCCAATGAAGGCCAGTATCTTTCCCTTCATCATTTCTAAGAATTTTCTGGCGTCAAATCGGGGGATATTGCATTGATCTGGCTTCCATCTCCAGTTCTCATAGTCCTTGTCTGGTCTCCCATTGCCCTGACAGTTCTGTGATTGTGTCAAAACAGGACAAGTGATGTTTGTATAAAGAGGTCCAGTGGGGTCGTATATCCATTTTCCATGGTATAGATCACAATCTCCTAGGAAGTTGCAGAGAAATAAGCAAGTTTAATTAAGGAGGGAAGTGTATATTCTGTTAATGGTGGAGTTTAACTTCAAAACTCTTCATTAGTTATCTTGATTTTTTATGATTGATAGCTACCAATTTAAGAGTCATTCAGATTTTTTTTCAAGATGATGGTTACATAAACTAATTCACATTTAATTTTTCAAAACTGTGACTAATCTAACTTGAAATTAATTTACTCACACTTAATTTTAAGATGGTGGCTATTAAACTCAAGCTTTATTAAATTCAAACTTGCTACCTATCATGATTCATGTCTAAGCATATTGTGTTGAAATATCTAGCAACAAGAAGCAAAAATGAAATGAGAGGAGTGAACAAGAGAGGAAAGGATAAAGGAGAGCAGTGTTATCCGAGGAAAAAATGAAAAAGGTTTTCAGGTTCTTGCAAATGTAGTTCTGTAGCTACTTCAGGAAGAAAGAAGTATTGTTTATTTTTACAAGAGAAGAAGTCATTGTTCATAACAAAAAATAGTTATCATTTAAACTCCTATTATAGATAAGTTTAAAGAGTAATTAGAGCAAAAACAATATATCCTTCATATCTAGTCCTCATTTTTGTAATAAGTGATTATATTTTCTCTCAACATGATAAAATGATATTTTGTCAATATCTCCAACTTTAAAAGAAGTGTGATGCTTTATATATACTTTTTAACGTTTAGTAGATTATTCTATTTTTATGTGGTTGTGGACATAGGACTTAAGCAAAACAACATAAATTTTAATATTTTTGTTTTTGAAGCTGAATCACTATTACAATTATTTTGTGATTCATCATATTTACTCTTTTACTCTAAGGTTGATGACACTATCTTTCCTGGCAAACTCAAAGTTCATTCTTAAGATGTATTTGTCAAGAAACCATTGCAGTACTCTAGAAGGTCATAATCATGGCTGACTTGGATTCGTTTAATAATGACAAGTCTCACTCTATATCTACAAACTTAATATTAATGGTTGGGAGCTCTTTAGTTGAAAGATTTACCAAGATTTTGGCTAAATACTGCAGATAGTTTTTTGAATAACATAAATCTTATTATCTTCTTAAACCTCATTTTCCTCCTTTTGCAGATTTAGTTAATCCTGCAGGACTAAGATTTAGGATATCTACACGACTTCTCTTCATTTATCCTTTTCTTCTGTTCATTTAAATACTAAAGATTGAAAATATCTGCCAAGCAGCTTACAAGACTTTAATCATATTTAACAATATTATGTCAGACAATTTTTAGGATTTGCTATATCTGAATTTACTAGATTTAGTAAATTATACTTGAATTAAATCCTACGTATGTCACTTTGCAAGCCATTATATCAGAATTCTTGACGGATCTGGGAGTTCATTTGAGTGCTCTAATGAAAGATTAATCCAACTTCTCATCAATGGTTTCACTAATTTTTGATGGAGAAAACTATCAAATGTGGGCGTTGCAGATGGAGGCCTGCTAAGATGGCTTGGATGTTTGGGAGGCTGCCGAAGAAGATTATGAAGTTCCATCTCTCTTAACATATTCGACGATGGCACAGATAAAGACACAAAAGGAGAAAGGACAACAAAGTTGAAGGCGACGGCATGTTTATTCGCAGCTATCTCACCAACAATTTTTACAAGAATTATGTCTCAAGAAATCAACGAAAGCCATTTGGGACTATCTCAAAGATGTGCAGGAGATGAAAGAGTTAAAGGTATGCATCCTAAATTTGATCAAGGAGTTTGAACTCAAAAGAAAGGACTCTGAGACAATTAAAAATTACTCGAAGAGACTTATAGGCATCGCAATAAAAGGTGCATCTTCCATTTAAATTTGGAGAAGAATTGATGCTAAATGTTCAAAGTGTGATCAACTTGGACATGAAGCAGTGATCTGTAAGGAAAAGGCTAAACTACAAGAAGTCGAAGCCCAATTTGCAGATCAAAAGGATGAAGATTAGCTTTAGTCGAAGCCCAATTTGGAGATCAAAAGGATGAAGATTAGCTTTTTCTGAAGATTAGCTTTTTCCGGCACCTTGTTTTATAAGCAGTAGTTCATTTGAAAGCGGGTTGATAGATAGAGAATGTACAAAACACATGACAAATGATAAGGAACACTTTAAAGACTTGAAGCCAACTGATATTTCTAAAGTCAGGGTTGGTAATGGCGATTACATTTCTTTCAACGGGAAAGAGACAACTGCCATAACATACACCAAACATGTTAAAATTAAGCTATTCTTGATGCACCGCATCAGATCGTATATTAGCAAATTAAGCTACTTACTTTATATTCTTCCACTACTAATAGTTACAGTTTTTGTCTTATATAGTAAAGGTAATTGTACTAAGTACATGGGTTCAAAGAGGATACATATAACAAAACTGGATGGAAAAACGAACATTAGATGATTATTATCGGAAGTTAGTTAAGAAAACATAGTTTTCTCTGTTTCTCTATTTCCTTCTCGTTTTTGCATTTGCAGGTTCTAGAGATCTTCTGAGCAGCCTTTGATTTACATCAATTCTTTTTTTAAGAAGTGCAGAGAGAAGGTGATGTGAGCCTAATTTATTGAAGATCTGAAGATCCACTTACAGATATTTTTACAAAATCTCTACTAATAAAAAAATTTGAACTCCCTAATCGAATGCTCGGATTGTACTGCACCTAATGCAAGGAAGAGTGTTAGTTATTTGGCCTTAGGTTTAGCAATTATATCACTTAGTGTGTCTTATTTATGTTTATTTAAATGGCTGTGTATAACCGCAGTTTCGTGTCTGTTTTCATTGATTGTTGTTGTTTTTTTAAGACTTTTTTTCTGCATTACTGCAGTACCGTGAAGACCAATTTTTGCATTTTTCACATACCTTCATTATTTATTTGTTCTCTTTTGTGGGAGATTTTTTGGGCTAAAATTTGGTTTTTTTCTCTTTTGTTATATCAGCTTCTTATCATTTTGTTATTTCATTTTTTTAAACTAACATTATCAAAAGTTTGTGGTTTTTAGGTTGTATATATATATTATGTTCGACAATATGACAACTTAATCTGGTTTATCAAAGAGATAAGAAACTGAAAACTTTCCTGCGCTGGTGGATATTTCAAATCAAAGTAAGTTTTCGTGGCATTTCCAAAATGAAAAACAAAAAAAGTTTCTTGAACTTCTCTTCTTCTATTTGTTCAGAGTGCATTGCCTGGTTGCAAATTGTATTATGTATATTCTCTTTACGCAATCTTCAAGTTTTGACATGGTTGATAAACCCTTTACAAGAAGAACCAAATTCTTCAAAAGCAATAGAACATACCAAACTTAGTCTTCCCAGAATTTCTAGAATGGGAGGAAGTGTTATGACTTGCAGGCGCCCATATAGAGATGCTGCTATCTAATTTTCCTGTAATGGTCTTAGTAGAGTTCTCTGAAGAATTAGAATCCTCACCTGTTTTGGCATCCAATCGAAATATATCAAAACCTACAATGTAATTATTTGTCTTTGAAAAAAGCTAAAATAACTATAAAAACATGAGGGCTGGTTGTAAACTTTCTCAAAATCTTGCTAGTTTATGTTTGTTAAATTCATCCAACACTACCTGATTGTATTTTGTCATAAGAACTGTTGGGGATGGAAGTAAACCCTACAGTGAAACAAATAAGAAAGTTAAAAAACAGTGGAAAGTAAATGGCACTAGAATTTAACGTGGAAAGACTAGAAAACGGGAAAAAATCATGGAGCCACACCACACCAAGAAATTCATTATGAAAATTAGGAGAAATAAGTATATATCTCTCTTCTCTCTCACTCTCTCCTTACGTACCTCCTCTCTTGCACCATTCTAACACACAAAACACAAAAGGAAAAACAAGATAATAATCCCAAGGGATGCTACCCTTCAGAAAAACAAGAAAGAAAACTATCCAGTCTGCCTCAAAGTGCAATGGTGCCAATTTAGAGCATTGAGGCACTCTAGCCTTTGTTATAATGATGTTGCGACACTCAAACCGGCAACATTGTGGCACTACCCAGTGCTGTGGCGCTGAATCTAAAGCATTGTGGTGCGCCGCTCACTGTCGTTTCTCTCAAAAAACTCGGTAGCACTGGGGCGCTCAGGAACACAGCACCTGGGCGCTTGGGTACACAGCACCTAGGCATTGTACGGGAAAAACAAAATTTATATTGAAAATAGGCAAAATGCACCCGAACCCAACCCCCTGCACCCCCTATTTAGCACGAGAAATCAAGTTGTGGCCTGAGGCAACAATATAATCAAATTAATCAACACAATCAGATTCCACGCAAACTCGCAATAACTTGAACTTAATTTGAATCACATGAAATCTTTTTATTTTTTATATTGAAAATAGGCAAAATGTAATTCAAATATATATTAACGAAGATACACCTACAAAACACAACAAAAGTTTATATAAGTTCGTTTAAATCGAGGGCTATGAAATGTCCTGTTGTTGTCCTTACAGATTTCACTATAATAGTTACTATGGAATCTTAACGTCCTAATCCTTAAGGTATACAACAAAATGAAGGCACACGCCTTTATAAAGATAATTAATCGATTAACCATTCATTATACTCATCTTAAAACAAATCCAATAACTATAAAACACTTTCTCGAAAATATTTTAGGCCATGCTTTAAGTCCAAATATCATGGCCTAAAATATTTTCCGGGCCAAAAAACCATATCAAGAACGTAGATCCTTTCTGTAAAATCATTTCAGGAAGCTTGATTACAAAGATTAAGGAAGTGAACTCACCAGCCTCAGCCTTCCTCGACTTCTTAGATTCCGCGAAAGGGATATCTCTGGCGTCCAAAATTAGCTGGCCATCGCCGTGATTTCCTGAACCCATCTTAGTAGTATTCTCTGTATTTTGAATATCTTCTGCAACTTTTACACTTAATGGAAATATTGAACTTCTGGAAGAAACAAGAAACCACGACGCTGTGATAAGAAACAAAACCATGATGCCCACAGAGCTTACGAGGGATCGCTGAACTGTGCAAGCACACAGAAATTTCTTAGACAAAGCGATTTCCATAGTCTCAACTCCTGAACAGAAACCTAAGCTTTTCTCAAATCTAGCTACCAATCTTAGGCTCTTCTCATGGTGAAATTATCTAAAGATCCTTTAGTTTCCCTATGGATGTAAACAGGAAATACAGACCAGTTCAAGAAGAAAGACATTGGGAGCCAAAGGGCAGGAATAGCACCTCGCTGTGAAGCTCCAATGGCGTAGAATACAAATTCGGTTAATAAAACAAGGTGGTCAACGGCTAAGTAGTTTTTAAGATGGGAAGAGTTAGCTAATCTGAAAATTTTAGTCTTTAGCTACAAAAGTTCGATAGTGGGAGTTACAATAAGTTTCCCTACGGATTTTAAGTTGTATATATAAAGATTATTTTTTGTAAGAAGATAAAAATATAGGTTAAATATTTTATTAATTAAATAGAAAACATGCTGATTGCGAATCTATTTGAGACTCTAATTTTTTATTGTTTTCTTACTGAACTAATTTTTAGTATGCCAATTTTTTTTTTAATTTAAAATTTTTTATTAAATTTTTTTTATAAAATAATAAAAAAATTATATCAAGATTTTGTTTGGGATTTGGGATACTTTTTTTTTCTTTATAAAATAATTTTTAAGCATAAATTTTTTTTTAAAAAAATTTAAATTAAAAAATCGTTTTGTTGCGGGCTAGAATATACGCGGCGATAGAGTTATTATTTTGCGTTTTAGCATTGTACGGATAGCTAGCTCTCATACAGAGAACACAAGATTTTTTACGTGGAAAACCCTTGAAAATGGGAAAAATCACGGGGTCTAGCTCAGTTGAAAATGATTCCACTATAATTTGAGTCGATTACAAAGGGCTAACTCGCCCCTAAGGGCGATCAGATTACAATTAGCAACTGTTCGATAGAAGTCTGGTGTTAGACCTAGTGTCACTTGATAGTACCATGGCGTCACCTGGAAGTTCGGGTGTTAGTTGGTAGTCTGGCCTTAAGCAAAACGTCGAGCCTTGAGCAGAATGTTGGGCCTGAACGTCGGGCCTGAACGTTGGGCCTTGAGCAGAACGTTGGGCCTTCAGCAGAATGTCGGGCCTTGAGCAGAACGTTGGGCCTTCAGCAGAACGTCGGGCATTGAGCAGAACATTGGGCCTTCAGCAGAACGTCGGGACTTGAGCAGAAATGTCGGGCCTGAACGTCGGGCCTTGAGGTGGTGGTGCAACGAAGCTCCATTGGTGGTCCGGCGATGTTCCGGCGGTGGTCCGGCGGTGGTCTGCGAGTTCCTGTGGTGGTCCGGCGAGGTTCCAGCACTGGTCCGGCGAGCTCCTGTGGTGGTCCGGCGAGGTTCTGTCGGTGGTCAGGAGGAGCTTCTTTCTTCTATTCTCCTCTTCTCTTATTATCTTCCCTTCTTGCTTGGATCCTCTCTTGTGAAGAATGAGGGCTCTATTTATAGTTTTTTTGGAGTGGCATAGTTTGTAAATAGGTGTGAGATCAAGGGCGAATAGGGAGTGATTGAATGGACGGTCGATATCGAATCCTACGATCATGCACCGTTCGTTGGACATTTGAAGGTCTTAGAGATGTCGGAATTCGGAGATCTTGGGCTCGTTGGATTCGTCTCGTTGAGCCATTCGATTCGAGTATAAGCTCGTTAAAATCGGAGACCGTTTGATATCTCAAATTGCGGTTTGAACCTTCCAACAGCGCTTCAGGTCCATGATTCCGACCCATTTGGGCTCGGATCGAGTTGAATTTGGTGTCGTTTGGTTCGTATTTCCGAGACGCTCAGTTCGACTGTAAGTTTGCTGAAATCGGAGTTCGGATGGTCTCCGAATTAATTTTTGAAGTTTCCAATTTTATTTTGCATCGAGATTCGCGTCCAATTAAGATAATTTTTTGACGACGTATCAATTTTACAAAATACTAAAAAAATTATCCCAAATAAAATGTTAATCTTTCAGCTGATGAACACTCATCAATCTAGATTTTTAAAAGATCATTGCAATTGTTTGAAGGAAAAGGTTATGTGAAGCGTAAGCTATAAGCTTAAAAATGTCATGATTTCTATCAAAATTACAGAAAGTGGTGTTGCTTCCTTCACCGCACATCTCCCCACACAAGCCACGTGGTGCAACATGGTGTTATTTCTCTAGGAGATCGGTTCATATACGATAATGAATATGCGCTCACATGGCCTGCTTGACTGACCTTAAGTGAATGGCTGAAGTTCTAAAATTTTTTTATTAAAAATTTGTTTTAGAAAGTAGTACTTAAAATTTTAAAGTATTTTAGAATTTATCCTCTAATTTAATTTTAGGGTTCGTTTGAGACGTCTTTTTTATTGCTTTCTAAAATGGAGTTTTAGTACAAATTTTTTTATTTTTGTACTAAAACGGAACTCCGTTTTAGAAAGCAATAAAAAAGCCGTCCCATTGAAGCCTTAGTCTCTTTTAAAATCGTTAAATTTGGGCAAGTTCTAAATATACGAGAATTTGTTTGTTATTATCAGCCTGGCTTCGATATGTCATTCACTATCTTACTAGTCATCAACACCGCTAGCCATCGTTGCTTCAAACAAAAAATAATAATTTTCTAAATTTATTTTATGCTTATCTAAATATTTCAAAAAAAAATTCAAATATATTGCATTTCTATTATAATACATTTCTTTTACTTTATATTTATTTTTCAGCATATTAAATGACACATAAATAAAAAAATACTACATAAATATTATATAAATTTTTCTTTGGACATTTAGGTCAATTAAGATAAACGAACACACACATCACATACACAAAGATTTGAATCCAAATCCTCTTAGTTGATAGTCAAAATTTCAACCAACAGATCAAAATGAGATAAATATATCATATAATTATAAATATTAATTCTTTACTTTTACGTGAAGTTAAGTTTAATATTCTTAAAAGTCTAACAAATAAAATTTTTAAATGTGATACAAGTTTACTATATAATAATTTATTGTATTTTTAATCAACTTCTTGGAAATTAAATGATTTTAAATATATTATAATAATTTCTAGTATAAATTGGATTCCCTGCACGTCATATTTATTTAAAATTGATTCAATTAATATAAAAAAATTAACGGTCAGAAGAAATAATTTAGGGTCCGTTTGACGTGAATGAAGTTTTCTAAGAGTAGTTTCAGAAGAAATAATTTAAAGCTGATGTGTAATTCCAAGCCTTTTCTCTTAAGAAAAACGAATAACACCCAAATTATATATAGATGACACTTTATTTCATGTTATTTACATATCTAACACATAAAATATTAATATTACATATCTACTACTCTTATACAACTTTAATATCAAATATATCACTCCTATAATTCATTTATGTCATTCATACCATCTTATAAACTTTAATATTTCATTCCATACATCCAAATTTGTTCTATGGGTTCTAGGCATGCGATATTAATGTTTTAAGTGTTAGATACATAAATAACATAAAATAAAGTGGTATGTATGTAAATCCCCCTTTTTTATATATCTATAACATTTTAAATTTTTTAATAAAAAAAAAAACATTTTTTTTTAATTAGAAAAATTGCACTAAGTTGTGCCTAAGTGAGGAAAAATTATTATGTGCGGACCTTGGACGTTGTCCGGAGACCAACCAGAATGCACCACATCACTTTTTTGCTTAGTACTGGTGCTTGGCACTGCTAAGTACCGGGTGATGTGGCACATTTTGATTGGTCTTCGGACCATCCGGTGTCGACATATAATAATTTCTCCTAAGTGAGGAGGTGTGCATATTTGGTTGATCTGCTTAGCTCAAATGGACTGAATGATTGATGAGTTTGCTAAACTAATTGTATAGAGTCAAATCATAGCTAGAATCAAACTAATCAAATCATAGGTAGAACTAAGTAAACAAAATCATAATATAGTCCAGTTTATTCAGATTAATCTCACAAACATAGGTAGAACTAAGTAAAGTGATCAAATCACAGACATAGCTCATCTTAGTCTGTTGGTTGTGAGCTTAGGTTACCAACTAAGATGTATTGGGTTCGAGTATTATATATGCAATGTGTGTGTGAGTATGCCTTAATTGGCCTAACTGTCCAAAAAAAAAAAAAGTTTAATTGAGAAATTCTAATATCGGTAAGCATTAAAGTTGTAAGTGAGCTGAGTTGGTGCAAACTCAACTCATTAATGATCTAGTGAGTTGTGCTTATCGAGCTGCGAGGTAGAACTTGAGATCAAACTAGAGCACATGTATTACATGAGCTTGAGCTCGAGCTTTAGCCGACTCAATTAGAAACCCTAAATATGATTTGTATTTCTCTTGCTTTGATTAACCCAATTCATTGCCGGTTTGAGGAACTCCATTCCTTCCTTCTACAACTAACTCCTATCGTGACTTTCATGAGCTCAGCCCATCAATGCCTTTAATTTCGAACATGTTCAACGACTTTCTAGCCACCATAGATCATAGGGGTATAAGTGAGCTAAGCTGGGTCAAGCTCGACTAGCTAATGAGCTCGCAAGTCGAACTTCTCAAGCCATAAGTTTGAGTTTGAGCTTAACTAGTATACAAGCTTAACCTCAAGTTGAGCCCAATTTGACTTGTCTGCTTGTCAAGATGGTTGGATTAATATCAATTGATACATCAAGCTTGAGAGTATAAGGACGACTAGGTGCAAGTTGGCCATATGAGCTCGAGCACGAGTTTGAACTAGAGGCAAGTTGAGCTTAAGTTAGCCCAAATTTGAATCGGACTCCTTATTTGCACCCCTTAAAACAGTCTAGAGTGATTTAGCCAAAAGGCATGTTCATTCTTTCTCTGCCCATTACAATAATTGTCGCCCACCGAGCAAATCTTATTTAATATATACTTATTTTTTTATTATCATTTATCAATGAATAAAACTGACAAATATGCCTTTTAATTACATAAGAAACATAAATAAATGTTCTTAAGAAAGTTTAAGCATAGCAACATCTCAATAAATACTTAAATTATTTCAAATTATAGACCAAAATATTGAAAGAAATAGGACGTGTTGAGCATACGAGCAATGGGAATATGCCAAAGACGAAATGGCACGCAACCCTTCAAGTTGTCTAAAGGCTTCAAACACAGTCATTTTGATCTTCTTTTATTCGAATTTAATGGCGATCGATTGGCAATAAATATAAAGCTGTAATGGCGAACCACAAAATCATGAGATATTCATGAAGACTAAGGAAATTATTCATGCTATAAAGGTCCAAGAAATAATTTTTTTATAGACAAATGAGAGAACTAATATCTCTATGAGCCTTTTTTTTTTTTCTCATGGCATCAAGAATATCATAAAACTTATCTGATCCTTTTAAAAGGTTTTTCGATGAAGATAGGGCTGTGTATGATATGTTCGTTGTTGGTTGGGAGCTTTGATTATCAATCAAGAGATTTTAGATTCAAACTTTGCATATGTGATGCATGTATGTGATATATGTGTGAGTTTGTCTTAGGTTTTATCTGGGACGGCTTTTTTTATGCTTCTTAAAGCGGATTTCAAGTATAAATTTTTTTAATTTTGTATTAAAAAACTGCTTTAAGAAACAGAAAGAAAACTGTCTCAAACGAAGCCTTAATTGGCTCAAAAGTCCTAAAAAAATATTACGGTGTATGAATTAATGATCAATAACCATTTTAATTTTTTTTTTTTTAGGAAACTTCACTTTGTAAAATCTTCTAGAACTTCTTAAGAAGGATCCATTAATATTTTTATCTAATTCCCAAAACATATATATACAACTGATAAATTAAAATTTTCAAAGTTTGCAACAAGAAAATGTGTGAATTCCAATACATTGTGATTTTTTTAAATCCTACCAAATGACAATATTTTGACATGACAATTTATAAAAATTGCTTGAGATAGCAACAATATACATAAAAAGTTTTGGAAATTTTTAACCATGAATTTGATAATATTTATCTAATCCAATAATATCATAATATTATCATTTGACAAATAAAAAATAAAAACTGATATAGCATTTCATATTGATTAAGATAATCAAATTAAAAGTTTACTAAATTCTACTATTAACTTCATATCATAAGTTTACATCCTAAGTTTATCATTCCACTTACCTTTACAGTCGTCAGTTTCTCCTCTTATAAGGAGAACGACTGGGCAAAAAACTTATTGTGACCCAAAATTAAACATTTACAGTCAATCACCATCTGATGTCCACCAAAGCCTAACATCTTCCATCGGGATTAGACACCAGCCTTCATGGTAGTTAGTCTCTCCTCTTACAAAGAAAAAGATTGAGCATACCACTTACCATCTCTTGATATCATATATTCCTTGCCATTATCAAATGTCTATATATCAATCTTCCTAGTTCCCAACCTCCCATCCTATAATTAAGAGAGTAAATGAGTTGATCATGAAATTTCACCAAAATCTAACTTTCTCAGTTAACCATCATTTGGCACCTACCAATATTTGAAATCTATTTTATATAATTTTACCATATTATCAAAAACAATTCTTCTGATTAGGTGTTATTGGCTATATAACCTTCAAAGACAGTTCTCTTCACCAATTCCCTTTGCTACGTGAGTCCATCAATGTGTCTGAGAGAGCTTCCCAACTAACACTTCAATTCTTTTTCCTTCAAAAATTTAAAATCAATAGAAGAATGCAAGACCTCCATATAGCCGTTGAATTGAGGCCAGGCGCATCTCCACATACTTCAATTCCTACAGATTTTGTTCAGATCAACTTAGTTATCTTTCAAAGCATTATCACCAAATCCCAACAACTTTTTCCTCTCCAAGTTTCTTTCCAAATCCATAAAATCACATAGTAGTTTTTTCCTTCTCATCATTTTCTTCAGAACTTGGCTCAAATCCCTACAAAAATTCTTTATTTTTTTTTTCTGCAATGGGTAATAGAATGACATGCATGCAAATGAAGGATTTGAAAGGGGCTTTTGCGTGTGGGAGCAAGAAGGAGATGAATCGCTCCTCATCCATGAAGAAATTGGTGTCTGAAAATGAGAAACTCTGCCAAATCTCTCAGCGCTTTGAAAGCTTCATCATTAATCGCATCGTTTCAACCCGTTCAAAGCCTCGTCGCTCGCTTTCAGACCCATCGCCTAATGACAAACGGGTAATTAATCACCAATTTCTGATTTTTTTTACCAATTAACTTGCCACTCCATGACAATCAAGAACAATACAAAATGCGTTTTTCCTATGCCATAAATGGAAGCTTTGAAAACCCTAACATGTCTTCATCTTCTCACCCTGAAATATTGGAAACACACATTTCAGGTCCCTATATTTCTGGAGAACATTGAAACAAGGAAGGTCATACTAGTACATGGAGAAGGACTTGGAGCTTGGTGCTGGTACAAAATTGTTCCAATGATGGAGGAAGCAGGAATGAATCCCGTTGCTTTGGATCTTGCAGGATCTGGTGCAAATGACTGCATAAACATCAACAACATTACAAGTTTGGAAGATTATTCAAAACCTCTCATGAATTATCTCTGCAGCCTCGCCGGCGATGAAAAGGTTGAAATCAATCTTTCAACTAGCAGATGTGTATAAATTTCTTAACTTTGATCTGCAAATCTGGATCTTGGTTAGCTTCCTAACAAGAGAAACTTAGCAGGTTATTTTGGTTGGTCATAGCTGTGGAGGTGCAACTATATCATATGCGATGGAAAAGTACCCAAATAAGATATCAAAAGCTATATTTCTTTGTGCAACGATGGTGAATAATGGCCAAAGGCCTTTTGACTCTTTTGCTCAGGAGGTGAGTTATTTCTATAGCTTCAAGTCTGCTGCAATTAACACTATATTATTCATCTTGAAAAACATAATCAAAGGACGAAAATAGAGGGTAATACAAACTACTAGGCATTAGGCTCATCTAATAATTTCTTGTTCCTTTGAACCCAAACTTTGAAGGGTGAATCACCTCAAACACAATAGTTCAGAAGAATTATCATAGGGCATCTCCCACCGAAAATCCCATTTTTCACTCCAAAATGCATTGAAAATAAAAATTGTCACGATTCATCTCCAATCGAACTCCTTTTTGAGCGCTTCTGCGAATGTAACCGTCTTTCTTCTCTTTCGCGCGTTTCTCGGCGAATCCAGTTGAAACAGAAAATCGCGTTGGTGAACAGCGCAACCCCAATATTGACGTCACACTGTTCACCCGCAAGCAAATGGAGAAAAATTTGACGTTCAGCTGGAACGACCGAACGACGTCATATGCATGTTTAATATTCGGTTGGAGATGCCCTTAATGATCGCATGACAAAATAGAGAGTAAAAGTGGGAAAAAAATTGGCTCAAAAATATTATGATTAAATTTTGATTAAGATAAGTCTCAAATTCATAAAATTTATTTTAAGAAATTATTCAAAATTTATATTGCACTCATCTTAAAATAAATTCAACAGTCTGTAAGACCTAATCTGATCACAAAATTGAATAGAATATCCGAAATTAAAAAAAAAATTTACCATCCCCATCTTACACCTGCATATATATGGTAATCATTTGCAGCTAGGCTCAGCTGAACTTTTCTTGAAAGAGTCTCAGAACCTGTTATATGGCAATGGTAAAGAGAGGCCTCCAACTGGCCTTATGCTGGAGAAAGACCAAATCAAAAGTTTATACTTCAACCATTGCTCCTCCAAGGTCTTTATCTCAACTCATATTAATACACAGTTAACTCAATTTCATAGTTTGGGACTGCTTTCTTTCTCCTTGTTCTAGTACAAAAATTAAAATTTTGGACTAAAAAGTTACTTTAAAAAGCAATAGGAAAGCCATTCCAAACTAAGCCTCAATTTCATACAAGATTAGGCTTCAAATCCCTCAAATAATGTCATTTATAGCCGTATTAAATGTAAAAAGGAGATGATTAAGCAAAGTGCAATTTTTAATGTCACAAAGCCTTTGATTAAGCTGCAGGATATAGCACTGGCTTCAATGTCCATGAAAGCAGTTCCTCTGGCACCAATGATGGAGCAATTAAAGCTCACACCTGAGAATTATGGAACAGTTAAGCGATTTTTTATCCAAACAGCCGACGATAACATTCTGAGGCTACAAATCCAGGAGGAGATTGTGCAGAAGAATCCACCACATGGAGTCTACAAGATCAAAGGCAGTGACCACAGCCCTTTCTTCTCAAAGCCTCGGTCGCTAAATAAGATTTTACTTGAGATTGCCCAGCTCTAGAAAAAGAGCTCTTGGGAAATACGTTCATTCTTTGTGGTGAAAATCTAAAAAATTTACTGGCTTCACATCTTTTTTGAAATTTGAACTTTGATTAGAATTATTTGTTTAAATTTAAAAAGATTGAATCATACATTATTTCATAAGTATTTTGTTCGAACATCGAACGCTCCGGAGACCAATCAGAATACATAACGTCCTCGGTACTACTCGGTATCACTGACGTGACACATTCTGGTTGATGTTCGAACGAGTTGTATGCCCATTCTCCATACAGAATATTTATCTATATTATTTGTCATTAGGTAATTTGTAAGGCAAGCTAAGCTAAATCACTGTTATTACTTTAACAACTTTCACTAATATTATTCTTTTAATGATTTTGTTGTCTTCGAAATAATTCTACAGAGATAATCATGACTGTTTGGGAGATGAAAGATGCCAAGGGATTTTGTAGTAGATAATTTGGTACACTTGAATACTTGATCAATAATTAGGCATTTGTATTTGAAAGTATAAAAAGCTTATTTAATGTCATGTACTTACATATTTATTAAAAACAAGTTCAAAATTTATTAGTCTTCAAAAATAAATAATAAACAATTAATAATAAAAATAAATAAATAAACTTAAAACCAACCTTATTTATTTATATTTGTTAACATTAGTGTTTATTATTTAACAATCACGAAAAGCTCAAAGATTGTTCTAATTTAATAACATATTTAATGTCACGTGATATTTATTTATATCAATTTTATTGTATATTATATTATTCAAAAACTATATATATTTGTCAATATAAAAAATATTACGAAAATATTAAATAAATAACTATATATTTAAATTAATGTTATTCATTAATATTAAAACAATAAAACGCCTTAAATAATATTTAATTAATTATATCAAATATGCAATTGATTAGCATAAATTTGATAAAAAGATGTTACTCAGCCCAAATCGATTTGTTTTTCAGCCTCACCATGAAATTCAGAGAAGAGAAACCAAAATAAAAATCAAAATAACTATAAAGTTTATAATATAAAAGTAGAATAGCGTTCACTTCACCAAAACCCCAATATTTCATAGACAAACCACCTCCCACTCTGCCAGTCAGCCGGTTGGCTTGTAAGAGAAGCCAACTCTGCTTTATAAGGCGCGTGAGCATTTACATATCTGCAAGAAAACACTAAGAACCATCTCCTGTTCACTCCAGCAATTAAAACACTGTGCAACAAATCCTTAAACTTCATATTAACAATGTCTCTATAGAAGCGCTCGCCGAGTCCTGATATATTTACATCCTTTGGCCAAATCTTTACCTCCCAAGTTGCAAGCAGAGAAGACCCAACAGTCTTCCATTTTCAGCCACTCAAACAAACTGAGCAGCTTCCATGGAAAGCTCTGTTGAATGATTGCCAGGCAAGAACTTCTCAGTTATTCAGGAATCCGTAAAACAAGCTTTCATATACCAAACAGGCAAAGCTGCTACCACTGTCACGTAGAGAACTGTTTAGCTGGCGAAAACTCCATTGGTGGATGGAAGGTAGAAAATTCCAGCCTGATCATTGAAAGCGAGATGATCATATTGCCCGTTGTGAATTCTGGGCAACAATGATGTCTCGTCGTCGTCCTCCAGGAATTTGAAACTGATAGAGAAACCCAATGCAGAATGGTACCAAACTATGACGAAAGCTGCAGAAAGGAACATAAAATCCGCTTGCTATTACTGGCTCGTGGGAAGTAGTTAGACAATGCAGGCTTGAAGAATGACAGACAAATATTATCTTGAAAACAAAAAGATTCTATAAAAGTTCAAAGATTTTACCTGGATCAAGTTCAAACTTGATCCAACATCAAACATTGTTGACTCAACTTTGAACTAGGTTAAAGTTGAAATCAAAATCATTTCAAATATAGATCGACTTAGTTAAACTCAAACTCAATATCAATAAAGTCATATAGACACATTTAGCTTTAATCCAGATTGAAATTCAATACAACAAAAACTGCACAAATAAATCTCAATCCATAAAGAATAACCATCATTAAGCTAGTAATAACTTTTTTTAATAAACAAAAATAGGGTTAATTTTGTTAGAATAGTGATATAACTTCGAGCAAAATCAAATGAACACGGATAATAAAAAGAACAAAATATTGCAATCATAAGACACATTACGTGGTTCAATGAGACATGCCTACATTCACAATCGCATAAAGATCAAATATTCCACTAAAATTTAAAGAGTTATATGTAGAGATTACACTTTGTATATATAAGGACAAAGATACCATTTTCTATATGCACTGATTAAGAGAAAATGCAACCACTTGCTGTAAACCGAATGCCTGACATGGGGAGAGAGATGGCGCTGCTATTGCTCCTACAAACAACAAAAAATACCTTTGTTCTCTCTCGCCCCTCTTCTGTATGTGCATGTTATTGTGGATACCTTGTAACCATTAATTTTTTCCTTTTCTACAAAACAACATGAGGTGGCAAGTATGAAATATTAAGTGCTAAAAGTCCTACAATTTGGAAGCCAGCAATCTTAAAAAAATTAAGAGTGAATAGAACTTGAGTGTGGTAGCCATCAATCTTGAAAATCAAAATTAAATAAAGTTGATGAAAGAATTAAGTCTCCACACTCCCACTTTGAGTTTGAATTTCTGATATAACTATTTATTTTCGTGTCTAATAATTCCCTGTGCAACACCTTCCTTCATCAGTCATGATAAAGTGAGGCTAAACCACATAAAAATTGTACATATTTGAATGATTGATTGTCTATGATTAATTTTCTCATTGCTTTTTACTTATTCTCAACATATCAATCTACATCATGTTGGTTTGTGAAGAATCCATGAAAATATTAGAAGCTAAAACTAAATACATCTCAAATGCAATAGACTAACAGTTCCAATAACATACAGAAAAATGAAATAATAAAATATGATTAATACTTACTTCCCCAGGGAAAATCATGAAGCAGAACCTGACTTCTGAACCCACACTTGTTTCTGTAAAATAGTCTTATTAGTTGTACAAGTCAACATTTGACAATAAAAACATTTCCATAAAGAAGCACTCACCTCGTGGGAACCATAGCTAGGAGGGCCTCTTTTCAAGGGTTTCCCTTCTGCTGTAGTTGAAGAGTGATCCAATTCCTTTGAAACATGAGCTGATCCACGGCGGCCTACATGCCTCTGTGTACCTGCACAAATATGTATCGATCAATGCCCGCATAAACTTCACATTTACAGCGAGAGAATACAGAATAATCACAAAAGAATGACAATTCATAGAAACACCAAAACAAACCGTTCTCCAAAGCATGGCTTCCCCGTCCACCTGCAAGGCTTTTAAATTCTGAATTTCTATTGCCATTTGAAGAATCATGCTTAATCTCTTCATGATAAAATGGGATCCCATTAGTAGTGCCACGCCCTACACTCACAAGGCAATTTTTTGCTCAATGGGTGATATAGATTTTCATAATGAATCAGATGATGACTATTAAAGCGCCAAAAAAAAAAAGTTCAAAATCCTGCACCTACCATAAGAACCATCAGAGCGACGAAGGGGCGCCCATACCCCACGATCAGGCCTATCCTTATTCCTCATGCGCTTGTCGTGCTTATTTTCGATAGTGAAAGCATGCAATTTATTTGAATCAATGAGGTCATCTATATTTGATTTTCCATTAGCATCTGAAGCAGATACGTGCAATAAACCAGAAGCACGTTCCTTTAAATTTGGTGGTGGGACAGGAGGTCGGGGAGGGCGCTTATCTTTCTCTGTGTTGCCATTAATCAACTGAGGGTCTGATTGAGATGTCAACACCTGCTGCCTTTCCTTGTTAGATAATATGCTTCTAATAATTCTTCCAGGAGCCTCGAGTTGCTGAATCTGTTTAAAGGAAGCAGAATAATGTGAGTTTTTTATTTGTGATGTGGCGTCCTGCATGTGGTCACTCGATGAACATCAAACCAAATGGCATGCCAATATTAAAATGGAGGGGAAAGATAGAACAAGGAATTATGACGTGAAGCATAGCTGCTTGCTTACATGAGAACTTCCACGTTCTTTCCCTTTCAAAAGCAAAAGAGCCTTTTTCCCTGTTTCTACAGAAACAGGCACTGCGGATATCGTTCCATTCCGGCCAGTAACTGAGAGATGGAACGAAGAATAAATCAAAAAATAAATAAAAGCAAACATAGGTATAATAATGAGAAATTCAAAAAATATTACTCATAGACGTCAAAGGCATTAAAATAGATCATGCAACAGACAATATCAAAACAGAAGAATTCTGATCAAGGGCACACAAACTCTATCATGATACACAATTTTCAAGGATAATGATCCGAATATCTCAAACTTCTCAGCAAGTCTGCGCTATCCCTATGTCATCAGAAGAGTAAACCAAAAACCATTAAGGAATGAGCAAATACAATAGAGAACGGAAACAGTGAACGGGTTATTCCAAGAAACAGGCAACAGCACAAGCCGACCACAACCATCATTCCGAGCACAGCCCATCGTCTCTCTCTCTCTCTCTCACATTTTTCATGTTATTCATGTTAAATCCAAACATGAAAAATGTCAAGAAGATACAAGAGCCAAAACAGGACAAGCCTTTCTAAACATAGGGCATTAATCTTTTAACAAAATAAATGCAAAAAGTATAGCGAGGGATCTTTCAAATAACAATTTTGATGTGGAGATGCAGAAAAAATTTATAGATGATATTGTACTTAAAAACACTAATTTGAAAACAACTAAATATGAAATAAGTAGTAAAGAACACTTTCTCAAGAAATAAAAGTAATTCAAACATTTTTTTAATTAAAAATAATTATAAAAATATACATGACAGAGTATTATACATGCACAAGTCGAGACAAATACATAGATAACATGAATTATGATATAAAAAGCATAAAACTATCAGCACACAACATGTCAAATTGTCAGATTCCTCAGCTCGCCTCTTTTTCCGGTTCATTGTACCAGTGAATCTCCTCCTGCGGCCTATCAATTGCTCACTTCTTACTTTTTTTTTTTTTTCAGTGCTTTATCCTCCGGTGTCTATTTGGAGCCTCCTGAGCCTTCTGTTAATTATTTAGAGACCATTTTGCAGTTGCTATTTTGTGCCTTTCTCATCTTATTGCTTGACTCTAATGAAATCACTTAAGCAGATTCAACTAGTTTTCAAGAATCTTTTTAAGGAAAATTTTGCTATAAATATCTATGGTTTCTACATATGGGTTGTCTTTAGAACAGGTCAAAGGGAATTCCCTATCAGAATTTGTAACTATAAATTCAAGTCTTATGAATAGACAACCTAACAATTGGTACATTAGGGTTGTTAAAAAAGCCATTGTTCATGAATAGCTCATGTTTGACTCGCTAAGAAACTTGTATTCGGTTCGTTTATACAATAGGTGGGTTGATATTAAATAGTAATTTTGAGCTTATTTTCAAGTAGGCCGTGTTCAACTCAAAGTCAAATGAGTTGAACACAAACACATGACAAGCTCTCTCAAACTAAGCTCGTTTACATCCCTATTGGTACTTGAATAAAACTTTGAATAAAATAATTACTCCTTTAACTTTAGCCAATCAATTTTATAAAGTAATTAGAGAGATTATATTGTTATAAAAGCGAGTCTTGGTATTTTATTCTTTATTCTTAATAGCTTATTATTGATTTGAAAATGTTATTGATTTAATCAAATTTTAAAAATGTTGGATTTTCATCATATGAAAGATTTAAAAATTTTGCATGGCTTTATTGATTATTGATCTATAATTTCTAAGTATTAATTCTTAGAAGAGGCCATTGAAATTTTCATCTGAGTTGCATTTCATCATGTTTTTAGTTTTTATCAAAAGTAAGTAACAATTTTTAAATACTAAGAGCATGTGTTGTGAACATTTTGTGATTATTGCATCATTTTCCATTTGATGTTAGATTTGCATTAGATACGCTAGATCCTAAAACTGTTTTACATCAAAATCAATATCAAAACTTATGGTTGTATCATAATGTCTTCTAGGCATGCATATAAGATTAGGGGGAGTTAATAACACAATAAATAAACAACTTGAACAAAACTGGCATCGTTATGATTCAGAATAATAACAACAACACTATTATTATGAGGTTAAGAATTATATTCCTGAATTTGATGAAAGGTATAATTTTAAGGCATTTTTATCTTGGATAGAAAATTTGTTTTTTAATTATAATGTATGATGCACATACAATTGAACTTTGCTAAAATAAATTTGATGCGACTTGCTCACATATTTGTCAATTTATTGTTGCTAAAATAAAATCTACATGGGCTGACATGAAAGTATGAAACATAAACTTAAAGAGTAACATTTATCATCGTTGATTATAGAGGCTAATGGAGATATGCGCATGCAATAAAAATGCCAAGCCAACCAATGATCAAAGCATGTTTGTTTTAGTTTCATTCATTTGATAGTTTTATTTTATTTTGTACAATAATAATTTATTTGAGACATACCTATGATGATGTTCTTATGGGAATGAAATGTGTTCTATTTAGTTATGCTGCTTTTGGCATGGACAAACTCTCATTTGAATCAATTTAAATCCTCTATCTGTTAACGAATCATAGAGAAAAATGCCTTTGGAGTTGCATGTTTGGAGCTATCCTAAAGCAATTTTTTCTTCCTTGTGTTGAAATATTGTTGCAGGCGATTCATACTGCTCTTATCCTATGGCTAATGAGTTAAACTGCCTCTTGAAGATTTTCTCAATATTTTCAAGCAACGGAAATCAAAACTATAATAAAGTGAATCATGCAAGCATCTTTTAAACCTTTTCGTTGGCCAATCCTTGAGCTATAAGAGTGTCCAGTTAATACTTTCCAAGATTAATCTTAGTTCCAAGATTTAAGTACATTAATTGATTTTAAATTGAAATATGAAAGGCAGACAATTCAAAGCTTGCAATATTATCTAGCGATTATTTCATAAAATTTCATATTATAGTTTTTATTTTTGAGTGTACATCTCTTATGTGTTATTCATTGGAGTATTCAAGTAAGCTACAAGTAATATTACCAAATTCCATGAGAAGTTATCTCTCTCTCTCTCTCTCTCTCTCTCTCTCTCTCTTATATATATATATATATATATGTATGTATAAAATCTCTATATATCAGTGAGTGATATCTTTTCCATATCAATTTTCTTCTAATATTTTTCTACTTTCTTTGTTATAGTTCTTGATCTTGGTCAATTTTGATGCATCCATCCTTGATATGTTAATCATAAATTCATAATTGCTTCTGTGTCATCTGCATTCATTTTAATTTCTTAATTGCATTAGGAGCCTAAGATCCTTAAGCATCTTGCATAAATTTATTATAAGAGCTTTTTTTTTTTTCTTTCAGTTTGTCACTTAAAAGCAAGAATCAATATCAAGGTAACTTGTTGATAAATCAACAAACGTATGAAATTTGACAACATTGCAAATTCAGTTGGCTGAATTATTAAATAAATAAAATCAATGTAAGAAAGCATTAATATGGTTTAAAGCACGAATAGAAATTTGAAAATCAATTTAGTTAATGTAATGTGAACCCAAAGTGGGTTCCAATCATAATGGTGAATCAATTCAAATGAATGTTAATACTTGCAGGAGACGAGGAAATAATTAAAGTAAAAATTACAGGGTGTCTAAAAAATAAGTTTATCAAGATTATAGATGTAAATTTTTTTAGAAAGATGATGACATAACCAAAAAAATTTAAGTAAATTATCTACATTTGATGGTAAAAGTGACCTAAGGTCTTTCCTGACTGGGTAATGGATTTTGATTAGTTTTATGAATGGAAAATTATATCTAATACGGGAAAGGTGGGATTTGTAAAACTTAAATTGATTTGGCAAGCTAAAATATATTTTAAAAAAGTACTAAAAAAAGAAGGTAAGGCTTGAAAAGGGAACCTACCACCACTTAGGTTGAAATGAAGAAACTAAGAATAAAAATATTTGTTTACTTTACAGGGATTGTTTGCTTGATGAGTTTAGCTTAATTGAAGTAAGGCACCAAAATAGTTTGAGTATATTCAAATTATTATTGCATTACGAGATTATTGAATATCCTAAAACAAAACTATCAAGGTTTAGGTCAAATTCGATATCTAATATCAAGATAGAGATGACACCTCATCATATTCCATCAATTGAGTATGTTTTCAACAAACATTGGATTTTGAGCAAATCTTAAGTTTCTAGCATCTAAAAAGATTTCTACATATTCTAGGAGTGCACTAGATCTTCAAAATAGTCACTATTGAACCAACTAAACCTAAGGGTAGGGACATTATAGCAAAAAATTACATTATAGTAAAAATAACACTAAAATAGATCATCTAAGCATGAATTTGCATGTAGGTCTTAAAATTCTACCAAGGATTGTTTTCGGAGCCATCAAATTGATCCAATAAAAAATTGCATATTAATGTGGAGAATAATGAAAACCAAATCAATGATTCTGACGATGCTCAAGAATTTAATAAGGAGAAAATGATTCTAAGAAAACTTCATTCGACAATCCTTTGAATAACATTCGTTACATCCATACTTGTTAACGGCGAATGTGTACAATGGTACAAAGCTCCATGTGGAACCAAAGCGCATAGTGCACAACACGTTGCATGTTATTTTAAATATTGTGCACAATATTAAATAATTATAAATAAAAATATATATCAATATAACATATAATTAAATTAAAGATAAATGTATTATAAAAAAGATAACCAAAATGATGCTTAAGGAATCAATAACTCAAACACTTAAAATTTAAAATGTTATAATTGGCCTGCTCATTAGATCTTGAAGTTGTTGTTGCCTTAAGGAGAGGAGACTCGATCTATTTGAAATAGCTGTAAGAGGTCAAATGTGTCGCTAGATGTAAAGAATACACGATATATTCAACTCATCTATATGTAGACTCTTAACACTAGATTACACTATGCGACTCTCAACCAATCGCTTGTATAAAACCATGCAAATGCACATCAATAAGAAAGGGGTGGAGGGGGTGACAATCGTTCTTCGAAGTCTAGATCATCTTCTCACGGTTGTGCTGTTTCGATAACTAGGGCAAAAGCTATTA